GAGAATATTGTATAAAGTAACAGCAACACTGTTCAATGATCAACCATCATAGACTTGGCTCTTTTTAGCAACACAATGATCTAAGACAATTTCAAAAGAATCATGATGGAAAATGCTATCCACATCTAGAGTAAGAACTATGGAGTCTATTTTCACCTTGTTTTTTGTTTTTCATGTTTTTTCCCCCTTTTGTCTGTTTCTTCTTTTACAACATGACTAATGTGGAAATAAGCTTAACATGACTGCACATGTATGACCTATGTTAGATTGCTTGCCGTCTTGGAGAAGGGAAGAAAGATTTGGAACTGAAAATCTTATAAAAAATGAACATTGAAAACTATCTTTACATTAATTGGAAAAATAAAATGCTATTTACAAAAAAAATGCAAAGAACAGAAGGAGATTCATCAGGAAATATGGTCAAGAGGCACAATTTTGGAACTTATGTGCTCAATGTATCATATACTTAAAAAACTCAAGCTATATATAATAGACTCATATTTTCCTATACAATCATATTTTCTTTTTCTTTGTATATACAAATACCCATATTTGTTGGGTTTTGTCGAATTTGAAATAAAAAGTTTTAAATAAAAAAAAACTTCAAAGGACTTCACATCTCTGATCTCCTTAGTGAGCAGCTATGACTTCAAAAGACAGATGATGAAGTCTTCTTCTCACCTCTTGAAAGAAAGTGAATGGAGAAAAGGTGCAAAATGAGACACATTTTCAAAACAGACTGAGTTCATTTGTTTTGCTGGCCAATACTTACTTGTTACAAGGAAGAAATTCTTATTAGGGAAGGGGATGTTAGTAAGTATGATAGAGATGCAAAAAAAGAAAAAAAGAAAAAGAGACTCAATAAAGCATTAAAATACATAGAAGCAAACAAAAAAGACATGAACAAGACTATTTTGTACTACTTTGTAAAATATATATGTAATATATGTTTCAAAATAAACACATTCAATTTCATCTACAGCCCTTTTTGTTCTTTGTATATTGAGAATTATATTTGTGGTTGATTAAGTTGATTAAAAAAAGAAGAATATATACTCATGTGAGAAAATTCAGTTGTCCAAGGACAAGAATATGGTGGGGGCATTTGGATGCTGAATGTGGAAAAGAAGTGTGATATTGTCATAATAATAAGAGTTAGAGCTTATGTAGCATTTTAAATTCTGAGAAGTTTTTTATATGTCATTTAATTCGTAGTAGGTGTAAGACAGATCTCTTGGACAAGATAAATTAGATGAGGAATTTGGGAAATATATTACAAATCTAGTATGGAAGGATGCTGTTGTAGTGATGGGAAACGTCAACTATCTGGAAATCTTCTGGGGCTTCCTCTTTGCCAAAACCATTACATTTAATACATTTGTGACTGATCTAAATAGTTTCATCTTTTAAAAGACAGAGGAAGAATCAAGATTATTAGAATTTGGAATTTAGAAACCCAACTCTGACATACATGCTAGATTACATACTAGATTGTTGGAAGTTCAGGGGCAGATTTTAAAGTGTGCAGAGAAAGAATGACCTAAAATCCTATATGGAAAATCAGACTAGAATGAAATTTTGAAGACCTATATATAGATAGTTTTAATTAGAGATGTTTAGTCTATGGAAGAAAAGATTTAGTAGAGGTAAGATAAAATAGCTTTCTTGAGTATCTGAAGGGTTATCTTGTGGAAGTGGGATTCAACCTGTCAGTTCAGGCCCAGGGAGCAGTACTCGTAATAAAGCATGGAAGCTGTGAAAAAGGAAATTCAGGTTTGATGTAGGGAATAATTTCCTAATAATTAGAACTATCCAAAAGTCAAATAGATTTCCCTAGAAAGTGGTCTTCAAGCAGATACCGGACCAACCGTTGGGGATTTTGTATCAGGGATTCTTGCTTGGGTGCAAATTAGATTAGATGTCCTCTCTGGCCCCTTCTAGCCCTTAGATTCTGGGAAATTGAATCCTTCAAAGTATATCAACTATACAATCACTGTTACAAAAGATTTAGGAATTTTATGAGTGCAAGTTTGGTATAAATCAATATTGACACCGGTCAAAATGTTTTCTTAGGGTCCATTAGTGGGATTACAGTGTTCAGACTAAAAGTACTACTGTATTTTGCAGTGGTCATCACATTTTACAAAGGGCACTTTGTAAACCAGGCTCTCTGGAGGTGTGTGTCCAGAATAGTGAGAGGTCTGGAAGCAATATTATATAAGGATCAGTTGAAGGAACTAAAGCTTAGACTGGAAAAGAGGGGGCTGGGGGTGGGATGACGTTAGTTGCCTTCAGTTATATGAAGACCTGTCACATGAAAGAGGGGATAGACTTACAGAGTACTAGCAAGTGGAAGTCACAAGGCAGCAAAAATTGGTTTAATATAAGGCTGCTAACAATTAAATCTGTCTCAGAATAAATGGTCTGCTTTGTAAAGTGTAGGTAAAAATTCCTTGTCATCTTTGAAGTAAAGTTTAGATGACTACCTGCTTTTTTTTTTTGTGAGACAATTGGGGTTAAGTGACTTGCCCAGGGTCATACAGCTAGTAAGTGTCAAGTGTCTGAGATCACATTTGAACTCAGGTCCTCTGACTCCAAGGCTAGAGCTCTGTCCACTGTACCACTTAGCTGCCCCCCCCTTTTTTTTTTTAAAGAGGATTATTTCTCACAGTAAATATACTTGGCTTCCTCTTTTTTTTTGCTGTAAATTTTCTAAAAAGTCTCTCTTTCTGAGAAACATAAATTCCACCACATTTTCCTGCTGACAAGGGTAGCTTTTCCTTTTTTTTTTTCAAGCAAATAAAATTAGCTAGTGTGAATTCTTACACTGAGTGAAACATGGAATTAGATAAACTTTGTAACTTCCATTTCTCAAGACTCTATACTTTTCTAGCCTCATTTCTCACTGTTTTCTTCTATGTATCTTATATGCACTAAAATGGACAACTCACTATTACTTGAATATCCTTTTCACTTTCTGACCCTCATGATGTTCACTCTGCCTGTGAAGAATGAATACCTTTCTCATGTATGTTGGGCTGGTCTTTTAAGTGAGGGGGGGAAGGAAGAGGAGGAATGGTATTTGGCTTTTTTGATACTTGAGAAGGGAGAAAATTAAAATCTAGCTTATGGGGGATTTGGGGTCAGAGATTTCTACCATGGCTTGGGACTTTCAGAACTAGTGTGGCCAGCTGCCGTGGGCAAATGTGGAGTAACCATTTTTATCTCAATTAGTATCTTTTGAACCTTAAGAATTCTTTTTATCTTTTGCAACTACTGAAGTTGTTTTTGCATTTTATGTTCCAAGAGTTCCTTACTGTATTCTCATCCTGAACCTAAATGACTAGACTAGCCTGAGGAAGCCTGGCCTAGAATATTGCTTATAATAGCATACCCACTCTTTTTTCTAGCCCTAACGGGAAATGTTACCACCTCTTTCAAAATTTTCCTGATTGTTCTGGAAATGACCCCTCTGCTTCTCTAACTTGTATTTGCACTTGTCTGGTGGTACTTATCATGTATTGGTTTGTGCATGTATCTTTTCTCACTTAATAGGCTTACCTATTTCCCTCTTCTCTCCAACCTGAAATTTAATTGGTATTAGGAATTCCTGGTGTGAAAACTCTTTTCCCCTGATGCAGATTAAAAGTCTTAGAGAATTGCCTGGAGCATTCTGGGAAGTTAAGTGACTTGCCCATGGACACACAACTAGTATGTGTCATAATTAGGACTTTACCTAGTTCCTGACTCCAAGATTGTTCTTTTATCACTCTACCACGCTACCTCTACTTAATATGTAATTCTCAAAATATATTGATTGGCAATTTGATTTATACAACAATAAAGTATAACATAAAATCAGATGACAACTGATATGATCATTTTTGATTTCCAAAATAGCAAGTCATATACAATGTCTTCAATGGAATTAACTATAGGGATAACTGCCTAAAAGCACTGTGTGGTCTGACCATATTTAAGTTCGTTAAGCTGTTGATTAGTAAATTACAAAATGCTAGAGTTTGAAGGGATTTTAGAAAGATCATCTAGTTTAACCCCCTTATTTTCCAGATGAAGAGACAGAGGCCTAGTGAAGTTACATGACTTTGGAGACCCACAGGTAGGCAGTATTGGTATTAGAGGCCATACATGTGTGTGTATATAGATAGTTACTTCTAGTTTTCTGCTACCTTTACCCTCTGCTACCAGCTACCTTTAAAGGAGCTTTGTATCTGCTTACTGATGATTTTTTTCAGTCTTCTGTGACCACGTAAACACACTGCATTATATCCTGTATTGTTGTTCAGTCATGCCCAACTCTTTGTTACCCCATATGGGATCTTCTTGGCAAAGATACTGGAGTGGTTTGCCATTTCCTTCTCCAATGGGATTAAGGTAAACAGGGTTAAATGATTTATCCAAGGTCACACAGCTAGTAAGTGTCTGAGGTTGAATTTGAACTCGGGTCTGCCTGATTTCAGGCCCGGTGCTCTATCCACTAAGCCACCTACCTGCCTCTGTATCCTATGTACTCAATTCAAAATCTAATGCAATTTATTATTTAAAATAAAACCAGATCTATAGTTTACACTTTAAGATCAAGGATTGAGTGCAGCCCTCAGAGACAGGACGACCTGTCAGGAACCGCCTTGGACCCATTTAGCTGGGTTCGTAGGCCAGTCTTTAACCTTCAGTGCCCCAGTCAGCTCTAATAACTAAAAGTTGCAGAGAAAGTATATTGTTTGGGGAAATTCCTCTATACTGATAAAATCACAAGGTCTGGTGAAAAAAAAGTTACTATTGTATAATTTAAGGTACATTATTTATAATTGGAGTTAAACATGGCCTACATAAGGAAAATAGATACTTAACGAAACAAAAAGAGGGATCATAACTTCTCTCCAATACCCAACCAAGGAATACTTTAAGAATGTTAGGAAGCACTGGGAACATTTTGTTTACTATATGTTTTGATTCTCAAATACAACCTTACACGCTTGTAAGACTTTATCACTGTATAAAAATGTACAGTGGCTTTATTGACATGTACATTCCATTATGTTTACAGCTGCAAGATATGAGGCACACTCAGTATTGCACTTCATTAAAATTTCAGGCTCAAACATAACCTAGAAGTTTAAATGAAATTGCTTTTGTAATTTAGTAATTCTTATACAGGACAAACATTGATATCTTTATATACAGTATGATGCTTATTACATTAATATGCCTTCCAAACACAATTTTTATAACAGTCTAGGAAATAAACCAGAATATTCTTCTTTTTACCCCCTCCCGTGATGCAGTTACAATTGTACAGTTTTACAAAAAGTCAGTATACAATAACCAATGATTTTTTTAAAATTTTCTTTGCCTGACAGCCAGCATCATTTGTAGTCTATGGGCATGGTGATCCTTTTATATCAGTTATCTATATATCCAATGCTTCATAGCCGATGACTGTAATGGCCACATGCAAACATCTCACAAGGTGGATGTCTTGGTTCAAAAAAAAAAAAGGCATTTTTTTTTTCACAGCAAGAATTATGTACACGGTATTTGGCATCCTTCTTGCACTGTAAATGTTTTTTTTAATTTTAAAATGGTCCCATCCTCATCCTGAGAAGTGTATAGAGTCCACTGTATTCTCTTCCTGACAAGGGCAGCTGTTTTTTCGGGCAAATAAAATTAGATGGTCTAAAATGTGTGAGCATTTCTACAAACCCCACAACCCAGAGCAAATTCTTCTCCAGTAAGTGGATGGACAACATGTAGTGGACATTCTGTTCCTTCCAATTGTTTGCCTTTGGGACCTGTGAAGTTTTAATGAAACAAAAGATTATTTAATGCAAATGAAGGGATATGGTTATTCAAAGCTGTGCTTCACTTACTATCATATGACTCAATTAATCAATAAACATTTGTTAAACACTCACTATGTACCAGACACTGTGATATGTCTGGGGATACAAAGAAGCAAAATCAATGCCATCAAGGAATTTACAATGTATCAGGGGAGACAACAAGCAAACACTACATCAAAAGCAAGCTAGATAGAGAATAAATAGGAAGTAATTAAAAGAGGGAAAACACTGAAATTAAGAGGAGTTAGAGGAGGCTTCCTGTAAAAAAGGTGGGATTTTAGTTGGGACTTAAAGGAAGCCAGGGAGGTCGCTGGTCGCAGCAGCGGAGGGAGAGTATTCCAGGCACGGAGGACACCCAGAAAGAATGCCTACAGCTGAGAGAGGGAGGTTCTTGTCTGTGAACAGCCAGCAGGCCAGTGCCACTGGATCAAAAAGTACCTGAAAGCTTCTATTTGTTTTAGCATTGCCTATAAGTGATATAATGAGTACACAGCCATGACTGATTTCACTGTGGCAGAAAAATCTTGGCTAAAAAAAATTTAGGATTTTGACTGTTTTCCCCTCAAAGGCAAAACCAATAAAATAACATTAAGATTCAATGGCCACGTACAAATAATGCTTTTTTTTTTAAACCTTAGCCCTAAAGAAAGCTAAAAATGGGAAGAATCATGATTAATTTTATTTTTAAATCAAGCAGCGTTGGATTTTTTATCTCAGCAATCTAGGTTCTTTGAAAAACATGAACAATTCATTAATTTAATTTATGGTATATAAAAAAAGGAAATGAACCTTTGTGGACAGCATGAATTGAACTAAGCTCACTAAAAACCCCATCACTGCACAATTATGGAGCAACCTCTTGTCTGTGTTTATACATTTATTTCCTTGTGATAACTCAGAGTTTAAATTCAGTTTAAAATTGGCAAAAGGGCTTTTGCTCCTCTAAAAACAGGACCAAAATGATTTAGTGATACAACCTGGCTCATTAGTTGTTCTCACCTTAAGTTAATTCAGCTTCAGCTGACAAGCTTGAGGTAGAAACTTTACAAAACCCAGGTTTCCTCTTGAGCAATGTTGCTGAAAGAGGCACCAATAACAGCAAGCTGTTCTGCCATCACACTGAAGTAAACTCTAATCCTCGTTGGGGGAAAATAAATAGCAGAGGACTAGATCAAGGAGACCAAACAAGGAGATGATACCTTTTTTTAAATCTCCATCTTCTTATCCAGAAGAAGGAAAATTTGAAGGGAAATAAAGGACTAGCAGAAAGTAGTCCTAGGTAAGGACTAGCCAAAGTTTAAAGGCAAACATCTAAGTAGAGACTTGATGCCTCTGGAAGTAGAGGAAGTAGTTGGTGTGCCTCTTCAGCAGAGAACCAGGTACACTCACTTTTTGAAGCTGAATGTGGCTATAGGAGCGCTGTTAATTCCAGTCTTAAATATGTGTGCAGTACAGGGATTTTGACAAAGAAGATTAATATTATAACAGGGATAGGAATGTGTCAGGGATCTAGGTAGAAAGAAAACTTCTATGGTGTTGATAACAGGTCTTCATGATTGTTTGGGGGAAACTGCTTGTTGGTTCTTTCCTAGCATTTATTGAGAAATTCTTATATAAAATACAAATATATACTTTGCTGTCACAAAAGCAGTAAAGATGTATTTCATCAATATATAATATATGACTTAGAATAAGTTTTATGGAGTTTCTTGAGGTACAATGGAGGGCTAAAGGACTCACTCAGGGTCAAAAAGCCAGTATGTGTCAGAGCAAGATTTGAACCCAAATCTTTCTGGCTCTTGGTCAGTCATAATGCCTCTCTACCCCATTCTTCTTCATCCCCCAACCACCCTATCAATAAAGAGTTTAATTTTTTAAGATGGTAGTTGAGTCTCAGAATTCTTGACAGCAGATTCATTAAAAGGGCATTGATTTAACTTCACTCACAGTAGAAACTTCCATATTTGGCAACCCCAAAGTGCAAGGCCATGCTCTTAAAACAGGCAGAAGAGCAGAAAAAGAAGGATGCCTACAATATACAGTGAAAGATGATGCCACAATAAATGAGGACCTTTGTGACTATTAAAAACAGAATATGGGTAGTGTTGACTTAGAGCAAATGTTCATTTTCTTGGGGTGATTAAGTTGCAACAAACCTATCTTTTACCCTGGGCAGGTCTACCATGCTAGGGTGGATCTTGTATGTGGATGAATTTCTACGTGAATGTGGTGTGGTTGGGAAACCTATGGAGCTGCCCTTTGATTCATCTGATGACACTTCAGAGTTTTTGTTGCCTGCGTAGGCTTGGGGTCCCTCTGCCTTCACCCACACTTGTTACTGATGGCAGTAATTATAATATTGCTCCCTCTGCCCTTTCAGCTATTCCTTCTACCACTGCGGGGTCCCTTTTTCAGATTGTGGGACTTTACCTTGAGAGCAGTCATGAAAAAATAAATTAGAAAATGTGTGAGGCTGGCAGATACCATTATGTTGGGAATGCTGTGCTCTAAACCTTACAATGCCCCAAACTATTTTCGGTACTGCTTACTACAGCTGTATAGATGGGAGACCAAAATCTTATCTATCAGTCAACCCATGAGTGTCTCTTAAGCCCTGACAAAAATGAGATAGTGCCTGCCCTCCAGAAGCTTACATTAATAACACAGTGAACTGTGTAAACATATGCAGTTTAAAGGATTTATATAAAGAATATATCAGAAGTGGGATTTCAACTCAGGTGCTCCTGATTTTGAGGCTAGTTCTCTTACCATTTTTATATAAAAGATCTAAAACGTGGCTAAAATTATGTGCCACTTGATCCTATTCTGATAAAGTCCTAATAAAAAAGGCTTGCACTATGAATAATTTTAGAAACAAAGGCCTTACTGTTCCCAGTTAAAAATGAAACTAAAATAATGTGTAAAAATAACCTAAAATATATCAAAATAAAATAATTTTTCCATCAGAATCCACTGTAATCTATAGAAAATTCCTATGAAATCTAGTGGCAAACTTATTCACATTCTTTCTAGGAGATTTGGAAAAATGTATAGTATCTGTATCTATACTATACACAGACATAATCATGACAAAAAAAGCTTGATGAAAGCTCACCTGCAGGACAGTGAGGAAGTTCTTCTTTGGGGATGCTTGTCATTCTTTGAAAATCATCATGACATGCATTACAAAAATGTGTTGTTCCAAAACAGAAAAATACAGCCACAGAGCAGCAGTAGCGGCATTTGTACTCTAAGAAGTCTGTACCATGTTTGGGACACATCTGTAGGAAAAGAAGTCAGACTGAATATTAAAGTAAGGTTATTTGAGACTGAAGAGCTTCAACTTCAAATAACGTTGACTCAAAATGTCTCCACATTTCACCCCCACCTATTCCTTCATTTCTGCCTCAGAGAAAGAAGTGACTCTTCTCACCAAAGCAACCTCTTCGTTTGTGCTCTTGGCCTTTTCTGCTCCTGTCTATTCCAGCATCTTGCTCCCTCCTTTCACTTTATGTTTTAGTCAGCAAACATTTATTAAGCACCTACTATGTGCCAGGCACTGTACTAAGCACCAAGGTTACAAATATGAAAAGGAAAGACAATTTCTGCCCTCAAAAAGCTTAGAAAAAAGTCCCTCCCACTTCTCTTACCTTGACCTCCACTGAGAAAGTAAAAACAGGAAGAAAACCTTAAATCCTGTTATAAACATGTATGGTCAAGTAAAATAAAACTTCTTATTGGCCATGTCTGTAGAAAAAACACGGCTCTACCTGCACTGAGTCCATCACTTTCTTCTCTGTCAGGAGGTGGGCAGTATAAATCCTTAGGAATTGTGGTTGTTTATTGTATTGACCAGATTTCCTGAGATTTGTTTGTGTGTTTGTTCTCACCCTCTTACCCCAAACCCCTCACTTCCACTGAGAACATAAGAAAACCCAAGCTCATTACAAACATGTACATAGTAGTCAACCATCACAAATGTCCACATTGGCCTTGCTCTAAAATATATTTGTCGCATTCTACCTTCTGAACCCTTCATCTCTCTACCAGAAGGCGGAGAGCATATTTCACTTGGAATCCTGCTTGGTCATTGTGCTGACAAGAGTACGTCTCAATGATGCTATATTACATCTTGGGTTTAAGTTTAAGCTCTGCTGCCTGCTGGCTTTGATCTCAGGCAAGTGTATCAAACTCTCCGAGCTTCAGTTTTCTCATCTGTAAGGCATATTCTCATTTGTACTACTCATTTCAGAGGTTTATTGTGACAAGTGAATGAGATTATACAAAGGATTTTGTAAGGACTTAGCTTCATATTTCACCAAAAAAAAAAAGAGACCATTTGCCAAAAACTGCCTCTCTTCTGTCTCCCCTCTTCATCTGACATCATTCAGATATCTCCTTCTACTATCTCCTCTTTCACTTCAAAGTCAGATGAAAAGATTGGCCTTTCTTACTAACAAGCACAATACCTTGTATAATTATTTGTTCAGTATGTTTGCTAATTTTAACTACATAGCTTAATTATACCAAACCTAGTTTATAAATACAAAATGTTTTAAATTGATGAGCCAGAGATATAGGATAAAGGACTTTGAATTAAAAAGTCAGGAAATCTGAGTTCTGTTATTACAGTATATGATTTTAATTAAGCTGCTTAAACTCTCCACTCAGTTTCCTTAGCCATCCTATCTTACAGAGATGTTATGAAGCTGCAACAGGAGATGGATAAACAAAAAAAGCCAACAGTATGTGCTATTAGTTTATTATCTGGAAACTGTTGGTAGGAAAAGAACTGTAAATATGTAATGTTTATAGAGGAAAAACGGAGAATAATGACATAATATATGTGAAAGATTTTCAATAACTACACTGTTCTGTATAAGTGTAAGTTACAAGGAATGTCAGAGAGTAGAAACAAAATTGGTCTTGGAACACTTCATTTTTGATTATGTTACTTAATACCTATGTGACCTTTCTGAACCTCAGGATCTTCATGTGTAAGATGAAGCAGCTGGATTGGATGATCACTCCGGTCTTTTCTAGCTACAAATCTATGATTATAAACCAGGACTTGTTAGGCTTAACACAAATAGGTAACATTTACTATGAATATTAAAAAACCCCTGCAATACTTCTAGACCACCTTTCTATCTCCTAAGTTTTCATACCCACCTGAGCCCTGGATACATCAGAACATGCTCCACAAATAAGCTCTCTGGGATCATAATCATCCCCTTGCCCAGCCTCAGCATCACAGCGAGCTTCACCACCAAAATATGCCTGGGGAAGTCAGAGAATATGTTGACATTAATGCAGAAATGAAGAAAAATTTCATGTAAGAATCTCAGGGAGATGGCATAAGGAAAAGGAAACCAAGAAATCTAGGATATATGAGCATTAGATGTTCTTTTAGATACCTACCATTACAGTTAGGCACTCATCAGGTCACGCAATGCTTCCAGTGGGATAGAGAAAGATATAACACTACTTGGTTTTGAGATGGTTCTTTATCTACAATTTGTTGTTGCTGTGAAGTTGTTTTTCAGTTGTGTCCAACTCTTCGTGATTCCAACATATGGGGTTTTCTTGGCAGAGATACTGGAGTAGTTTGCCATTTACTTCTCCAGCTCATTTTACAGATGAGGAAACTGTAGCAAACAGGGTTAAGTGACTTGCTCACTCCAGTTCTGAACTCAGGTTTTCCTGACTCCAGGCCCAGTGCTCAATCTACTGTACCACCTAGCTTCTTCCTATCTACAATAGGCAGTATCAATAAAATACTTCCTACATTAGAGAGGCAAAGAATCCTAAGATTTCAATGCAGCCTCTTCTCTAGTAGCAGCCTAGTAGTGTATAGCAAGGGTATTCTGTCAAGCCTAGGGCTTGACTTAATTTGCTTTGGTTTCATTTGATATTCCGCTAAATCCTAAATAACACTTTAAACTGAGTTTGCTTAATGTTTGGAAATTCTTAAACAATAATATTAATTAGATTAAAAAAAAGTCAGTTTTTTGTTGAAAAGATAAAGATTATAACATCTGATTGTAGCCGGCTTAAATACTAGTCAGAAAGGAAAAATTCTTAGAGAAAACAGGATTTGGCAATTACATTAGAATATAGCAGAATAATGCTCACATTTATTCAGTAAACCTCTGTGGGTCAAAAATTACAATCTGTTATGTGTTTAGTGGCATTTACAACAGACAGTGGAATAAAATTTCTTCGATAGTTTGTCTAAAACAGGTTGTTGCACAGTACAAAAGAGGCTAAAAGCACAGCAAGGTGGCGCAGTGGACACAATGACGAGTCCGTATGTCTGGAGTCTGGAAGACTTCTCTTCCTGAGTTCATATCCGGCCTCAGACACTTACTAGCTGTGTGACCCTGGCCAAGTCACTTAACCCTGTTTACCTCAGTTTCTTCACCTGTAAAATGAGCTGGAGAAGGAAATGGCAAACTACTCCAGTGTCTCTACCAAGAAAACCCCAAACAGGGCTGTAAAGAGTTAGACGCAACTGAAATGACTAAGCAGCAACAAAAAGAGGCCAAAGTCTGAGTCCCTAGGCTGGCAAACTTCTAGATTTGATTTTGTCCCATCAATGACCTAGTAAATGTACAACAGTCACAGGGAAGAATTAACAAAAGGGTAAGGCCTGGTGCAAGGATACATCACCTTTCTGGAAAAAGAACTCAAAACATAGGTTCCACTGATACAGTAGTATCCTCTTTTTCAGTATTTCCACATATACAAGTCAGCATATCAAAATACAATACCAAAATACCACCAAGAAAATTTCCATTTTTAACTTAATAAGTACAGAACTCACACAGATGCTCTCTGATGTCTCCCCACGGCACAGCAGTGACCCTGGGTTCTCAAAGGTCCTACCAGTGATCTATAGGCAGTAGCAGGTTCCATAAGGCTGGAAGTCCTTGGTCATAGCTAAATCTGTTGTTTTTAACTTAAAGCCTGTGTTTCCCCATCTCATTGAGGCTAAAAATACAAGGATAGTCACAGGCCCAAACATAATACTGACTGACACAGAAGCTTGGGCCTGCTCCATTTCTGACCTGGGCAACCTGGTGGCCTCTCACTTCCAGAGACTCCACCATATTTATGCCAGACTTGGTGCGGACACCTGATCAGCGTAGCCCACCGCTTTTCAGAACTCCTAGCTCAAGAGACCTTTCAGTCTCAGCCTCCAAGACAGCTAGGATTACAGGCATCAACGACTATGCTTGGCAAGGTGAATGTATCAATGAACTAAGCAAGATCAACTTTGTACAGGGAGAAATTTCCATCGAAGACTCAGTCTACATGAGCAACTTGTTACCCAAGGCCTTTGCTAAGCTCCCCAGGTGTCAGTTTTCTCTATCCACTGCCAAATGACATTGTACACACTCTGTATATGCATTTTGTAGCAACTTATCCACAAACATGCTGTTTCTCCTCAGAAGAATCTAAGCTGCTTGAGGCCAGGGCCTATTTCAGTTCTGTCTTTGCACTCTCCCCCACTCTCTCCTTAGTACAGTGCCAAAGGATCACAGATTTAGACCAGAAGGAGCCTTAAGAGGCCATCCTGTCCACCCTCACATTTTACACAGAGGAAACTGAGGCTTGGAGATTCAAGTGACTTGACTATGATCACACAGCTAGTAAATATTTGAATTGAGGTCTGAAAAGACTTCAGATTCAGCACTCTACCAAACCACAAGCCTCACATAATAGGCACCTTATAAATGTGAATAAATCAAAGAGACATAAGACTATTCCATTTATATGCCCAGTTTTAAAATGAGTGTATAACATCTACCACACATTTAATTTCTTAGTTATCTATACAATTTCCAATTTTAAAAAAATTATTGAAATAAATTCATAGCATACCTTCTTGCATTTGTAGCAGACATAATATGCATATCTATTCATGGCATAACCAGCAGGGTCATTATAAAATCTAACGCCCGGTGTTGTGATTGCCTCACTCTTGTGTAGTCCTTCATATTCCAATCTCATTAAGGCCTTTCTCCTGACATCTTCATAGAGTTCTTTGATTGGATCAAGCAGGTCTTTTAATACTGTATGATTTATTTTGTTCTGGAATGAAGAATATAGCACCTTAAGTTCATATTATTAGCTTTTTGCTAATTTCTATGTAGTAGATATTTCCCACATCAGTTACTTTTTTTTAATATGCCATAAACAAAATACCCCAAACAAAATTTTCAATGTAAAAGAGAAATGCATTCCAAAAATATTTTAAAAGTTATTTCATTAATATTTCAATGTTTTTAAAGTCCAACATACTGAGTTTTCTTTGTTGTCAATCAGTAATCGATCTTTGCAATGTTTATAGAAACTGGTAAAAGGCACTGCTGATAAGTCTGCTGACAAGTCTGGATACTAAAGGCACTTAGGACTTAGGACATGTTCTGAATAGAGGAGGCACTGAGAAGATACTGAAAGACTGATCTGACAACAATATAAAATCCTTAATTAAGAATTTAAAAAAAACCTAGGGAACAGAAATGGCTAGTTCTTATCAAATTTATTCATATAACCAAAGTGATAATAACGGTAAATAAAATATTAAACCAAAGAAGAAAGACCCTCATAAGTCTTAACCGTATCTTATTCTTCTTAGAAACACAAAGGGAAGAGTAAAACACACTATCCTAGTTGTTCCTAAGTCTCTTTCCGTAAGATTTCTATCCTGCTGCTTTACTTATGACTTGACACTTAGAAGTGAATTCCTTAAGAGAAAAAAAAACACTTTTTAATCTTTTTTTTTTTTGAGGGAGATGCAAGAAGGCAGAAAGCAACATTTTGTAGGATGCCACCTCCAGATAAATTGCTTTAGTGAACTAAATTTGGCCCTGCTTTATGGCACCACACAGGGGAGGAAAGTATAATAGCATAACTGGGTTGTTCTGCTAAGAAGCGATTGCTCTGAGTCTCTCAGAGGGTATATTTTGGATTTTAGACCTTAAACTTTTTAGGACTTGTCCTAATGTCACTGAAAGGTCAGATTATGGATCATCAGACAACTGAAGACATTTGTATCCATTAACAGTAGAACAATAAGTTTATTTTTCTTATAGTCAACTGTTCAACATGTGTTGCGATATGAACTTACTTTTCAATTCATGTTGGCAAACAAATATTTCTTAAAGAAGATAAGTGAAGATAAGTGACACACATCTTCTGATATGTGTTTGAATGATTTTTTTCTGATAAAAACCAATTCAATAAGGAATTAAGGAGTAATTATTGAGCATCCAAAATTTTGAAATCTGTCATAAATAAAACTAATAATAAAATAAATCTGTTATAAAACAGTTAGTGAGAAATTCATAATAACATATTCTAATATCAACTAGGAAGGCAGTGGTGGAATCTGTAAGACTGAGGCTGTAAGATTTTCTAGGGGGGAAGAGCATGAGGCAGCTAAGCAAGCAGGGCACTAAAGGCCACAAAAGTAGGATTCTGTTTCCTGAGTCTCTAGACACCAAGAAGAAGCTGGAACTGAAGTAGAGCATAGATAATTTTAATTTTCCCATACCTTGCAAATAGGACAAGATATAAATCCAAATGTTATCCGGGGCCCAAGCCATCTGTTTTCTAAAACTCGTCGGCAGCATTGCAAGTGGAATATGTGACTACAATCCAACTTAAAAAGAAAAAAAGGGAAATACATGAGCAATGCATGGTTAAAAACAACTAACAGTAGAGATATTTATGACTTTTAGGAACTCAGCATGGTGAAATCCCTAGATATGTACACAGGCTTTTTACTATTTCTTTGCTACTCAGTAGGTCTAGTCTGTGGCTTATGTAGGCTCTTAGTTTTTCCTCATCTTTTGGCCATTTTACTCCAGCAAAAAAAGTTTGAGTGTGTTAAAAGAAAAGTGGTGAAACTACTACTTAATACCACCCAACTTTGTTATAAGGAAATATCTGATCCTAATGGATGCCCTTTCATTCAGTGACCTATGACAAAAATGCCAATTATCTGTAAATTAGAAGATACATATCCATGACTGAAATAATGAATGAAAATACAGGTCTTATCAATTTTTCACTATAAAAATGATAATATAAAACTGCTAAAATATCAAATAACCACCTGAATAGCGGGTGCTGCTGAAAGTGCCTCAGTGAAGCATATCATACACATGTCATCAGCATCTTGCTTAAGCGTTGTGGCATTTTTATCGCAGCCATGCAGACATGGTAAACAGTGTTCTTCATTTTTGACGCCTCCACATGGATGGCCACAAGGATGTGTCTTGCTACAGGCTATTTTAGCATATTCCTGTCAAAGAGAAATTCACAAAAGCATAAGACCTTAAAAAATTAAAGGCAAATGTCTGACTAATTACATTATACTCATTATACTAATTTTCTTACAGGCAATAAATATTAAGATTAGGCATCAGTTAATATTATTTTCTATTTAACACTTTAATACAACCAAGGACTAAAATTATAAGACTCGTTTTGAATTTTAAATTGATAATGAAATGAAAAAAGGCTAATTAACACTGAGTTAATGATCATGCATTTTAGAAACATTTTTAAAATTTAAAAAAGAATTTAAAAAAACAACAATGAAGTACTAAATAGAGTAATTTAAAAACAAATTTGGTCTAGCTAAAAAAAATTACTAAGATAATGGGAATGTTATTTAGGGATAAGAAAAATCAGGGAAGAAAGCTAAGTATTTAACCAAATTTTATTTAAGAAAATAAGGGAAAGTGTCTAGTACAGAGGTTCTCAACATGGGGGATACTGCCCCCTTGTGGGGCAATGGACCGATTCAGGGGGGTAGTCATAACTTTGGGTGCAATTGAGGGGCACTGAATAAAAATAAGGGGGTAGTGGAAACACAAGGAAAGAAGAGATGATAAGAACATTTTGAAAAATCATTTGTACATGTTTCATCTGTTTCGTAACAGAGTTAAAGTCGTAGTGATCACATTATTTTCCAACTAAACACACAAAATGCAAGTTATAACCAATCAGTGGTCAAGTCTGCTAATAGGTCTTAACAAGCAAGTGTTGGCAGGAGTGTAGTACATTGTCAGGAAGTCCAGCATGCATCGGCAGGAATATGTAAGTGTAATAATTTGTTTACAGTATGATACTATACAGTTACATGCTACAATATTGTGTTATCAAAATTTAATGCAGGAAAAAAATCCATAAATTTACAATAAATAATTAAATTTATATTTTTTGAAATGATGCAAATTTCAAAAACAAAACAAAACAAAACAAACCGTTAAAGGGTTAGAGATTTCCAAGGGGGCTGACAATTTTTTTTTTTCTGGAAAAGGGGGTGGTAGGCCAAATAAGTTTGGGAACCTCTGGTCTAGTCTGTACTTCATATCAGAAGGTGAAATTTAGGGCTTTTTCTGATCCTCTTTATAGCTGAGACATACAACCATCCCTACATTCTAGTCTATAAAGTATGGTTTGTGCTGAACTACATACAACATAAACTACATATATTAAAGGCTGTTATCACCAAGGGTGATGGGGCTGACTGTATGCTTATTTGTACATACCTGACAATCTGCATCAGAACAGACACTGCCAACGGCAGATAACTCTGTTCCGCTCCTGGAACCACAAAAACGGCATGCTTCGGAGCTACTTGTGGTGGGTTTACCTATGTGCAAGTAGAAAGCATCACATTTCAGGCTTATATAATATAATAAATGGCTAAATAATGAATAAAAAAGGTAGCACAATATATCTAAAATTTCTTGTTTTGCTTATCTGGTCAAGCAATGTTGGAAGAGAATTTCTGGAGACGCAAAAAGAATGAAATAATTACAGAATTCCTTTTTCCTCTTCAATCTGAAAATATGCTTATTTATAACAAAGAGATTTTCCTCTATGAGGTATGGTTAGCGGTAATATTACTCCTTGGGAATTACCCACTTTGTAAAAGGGATGATCACAATTTCTGGTTTTAATTAATAATTAGATCTTCAGCTATTCACTAAATAATCAGAAGTCAATTCTTTTAGTAGTCTTTTCAAAAGTAGGCGTCAAGGGGCAGTTAGATGGCACAGTGGATACAGCCTTGGAGTCAAGTGGACCTGAGTTCAAATCTGGCCTCAGACACTCGACACTTACTAGCTGTGTGACCCTGGGCAAGTCACTTAACCCTGAATGCCTCACCAAAAAGCAAAAAAAAAAAAATTAGGGGTCAACCACATGATGCATGTATTTTATTTTAGGACATCAAAGTGAGGAAATTGATCCAGACAAAGAAATTAAGATTTTAATTATGTTTTCAGAAGCTTGTTACTTTCCTAAATTTAGGAAAGGCAGAAGGCGTTGGTAAGCAGTTCCTAAAATGTAGGAAGTCCTGAAGGCAGTCTTTCATTCCAGAGATAGGAGTAAGAAAAGAGCAGAACATGAAGAACCTCATATTTCTACTTCTCAACAGGTCCAACAAACAAGTTCTTGATTAGGTGAAAAGATAAATCATAAGAAATGCTTTTGAGTTTCCACTAGAGAGGAAAAGGGGCAGGAAAAACTCCAAAATTTTTTTAATCTAAAAACATGAGGAATAAAAGACTGCAATCCTCACTTATTCAGGCTCACTTATGAATATCAAAGGTTTTGTGGCTTTCAGCAGTTAGGCAAATGGCAACCTGAAACACAGGAACTGTAAGCAACAATGTAACTCCTAAATGAGTTTTAAATTTAAGCTGCAAGTACATAACGCAATTAGGAACAAGTAAAAATGTATAAATTATTACTTATATAAATAGTTATTTATGCAATTTGAAAATTATTTAATTCATGTAGGTATTTTAAAAATAGAATATTTTTTCCACCTTAGACTCAAAAGTAGTTCTATTAAGAGTGTTTCAGTGCTTAGAATAGAGTTGAATGAATGACTATTCCACACTTAGAAAGACTGTAAGTTTGGAGAAGAGACCTTAGACATCCTTTAGACTAATGTTCTCATTATATAGATAAGCACCCCGAAGCTCAGAAGTGAAGGGACTTGCTCAATGTCACATGGTAAGTTAGCTACAGTATTCTATGGCTTTGTATTCATTACTTGCGTTATCCAGTGGATAGTACAGTGTCTGGCATACAGCAGTCATTTAATAAATGCTTGCTGATTGACTGATTTAGTGTTAAAAGCAAAAGAGGGATTAGGGAAAAAATTGAGAGGTATATCTAGTTATCTCAATATCATATGCAGTGTTCAGTAATGTAATAGGTAGATATCAGGAAACCTCCCCAAAACATCCTTGTATAAATGACTTCAAGTTTAACTAGTGGCCATAGTTATATTTTATTTTTTACCTGTATGTTCTCTGAATTCCACCATTGCCTTCATGGTTTTAGAATCTGCTAGTGCCATTAACCAGAAGAGTTTGGTTCTACCACAGCCCTCATGAAGGTCAACCTTAATAGCCTCTTCTTCTTCTTTGAAGACCTATTAGTTTCATGAAAGGCATGGAAAATAATAATTATGTACTGATAAATGTTTATTACTAATAAAGCACTCTGAAAACATGAAATCTTCACCTGTCTCTGATGAGTTTTGGTTCGGCGATGAAGATGAAGGAATCTGTCACAGTCAGTGCAGAGATTTCCACACACATTGCATAAGATGATTGCTGCAGTTTCACCATCATCATGGTTATCACACATAGGCTGAAAAATAAGATAAATGCTAAATAAAATGAAAAAATAAAGTCCCCGAAAGTGACACAAATTAGAACCTCAGTAAGTCACTGTCAAGCTCATTAAGTTTCAAATTTGGAAGGCCAAGCAGAATCAGAGCAAATATATTTAAATAAAACAAAACAAAAAGTTATAGACTTGAATACTTCATTCAGTGATGTCTAAAAATTGTTCACATTTCATTGTAGGAAACAAAGTCAACATTAAATCTAATACTATACTAAATGAACAACACTTCTAAAAACCTGCCAACAGTCTTCATATATTAGCATTAAAATGTAGCCTTTCAGTTCATTCTAACTAGGGATTTTAGTAGATCATGAATATAAAATCTAAAGTGAAAATTACATCAACATTAACTTTAGATCAGGAGTTCCTTACCTACTGCCTTTGAACTTAATTTTAGAATACTTTGATAACTGCACTTACATGTAACTGTTTTGCTTTGTAACCCTATATATTTTATGCATTTGAAAAGAAATTTATGGGGTTTGCCAGACTGCCAGAGGGACCCATGATATACAAAAGAAGTTAACAATTCCTGATTTAAATGCCTAAATATGTCCTTAAGAATACCTTTCTTGAATCCAGATAACTGCTGAAAGTGCCTTACTAACCAGTGTATCCAAGAAAACACTATTTTATGAACACATAAGTGAATGGAAGGAATGTTGTTTTTCCTGTTCCCTCCTCTTTTTAGGTTATTTCTTTTTTTTTTCCTTATTAGGCAATTGGGGTTAAGTGACTTGCCCAGGGTCATACAGCTAGTAAATGTCAAGTGTTTGGTCTGAGGCTGGATTTGAACTCAGGTCCTCCTTTCAGCTTATTTCTAAGGATATCTTTTTTTTTTTGAGGGGGGTTAGACTTATAATTTCATTGAAGTCAGGAATTACCCAGTCAGGAATCTTCCTCTACCAATGTAGATTGGATTCTGCACTTAATAATCTTAGAGAATTGCCTGGGGCATGGAGCAGGTAAGTGACTTGCACCAGGTTGCACAACTAGAATATGTCTGAGTTTGAACTTGCACCAAGATCAGCCTGACCCAGAGGCTGGCTCTTTATCCACATGCTGCAAGGTTCTGAATGATTTCTATATCTAGTACAAAATTTAAAGACGAGAACACACCATGTCTAATAAAATAAGCTTATGATGAAATGTAAAGGCAAGACAGAGAAAAGAGAAGGGGAAAAAACCCACCGTTATCAAATAATTTGTTTACTTACATTTCAACCTGAATTATGAAGATGGAAACTTAATGTGCACAATATAATACACTAAGTGATGAGAGAAATTTAACCAGTTTTGATAAAATTTTTCACCATCTATACTACTGCACGTTTGTTCAGGGACCTTCTTTTCTTCTTAACGTATAACAGCAGTTAAAATGTTTCAAAAGCTAAAACTTCTGCTCTTACCATTTGTTTCTGCTGTCCATCCTTTCCCATCCATCTTCCTGAAGAGAGCCGATCCACGTGATCCTGATCTAGAACACAAAGTGATGCCAGGGCAAGCCAAAGCTGTTCAAGGAAACAGGGACAGGAGTGAATACTAACTGAGGAAATGATATTGTCAGTATATAATTCCTGAGAGGTCAGTACAGTGTCCTGCTTACTTACTCTGCATAACATCGAACACATACCATGCTCAATAAGACATTTTTAAGTATGTTTTGATAACAAAGTCATATACGTTTTTGAATCTCTCAGAGCACCTCATACTGTGCCTCAATAAGCATCTGTTATTTAATGAAAATTCAGGAATCATTTCACATTAAGCTTTCCTATATTTTGCTTTTACAAAAAGTGTAGATTTCTAATTTAAAGTGATGGTGACAAAATGGATTCTGAATTATCCGGAAAATATTAAGTCGCATTCAAATTAAGGTCTAATGAAGAAATAAGGAAAGTATGCAATATATTCTAGAAAGTTATCATCACACATGGTTAAATAAAAAATGGTGTGTGGTTCAAGTGGGTATGCTTTAGTCATCTAGAAAATACAGATATATGAATACTTCATTTCTTAGGATTCCTGATAAATGAGAGATATTGCTTTTTTTTTCTCCTGCCTTTTCTTTTTTAGAATACCTACTCTCTTTTATACATATGATGCTTTAACGCTTATAAGGGGCTTTTCCATACAATGAGTCTGTGAAGCAGGTAGTAGAAGTAATATTATTTCCAACTTTTACAATGAAGGAAACTGAAGGTCAAAGCAGTAAAGTGACTTGTCTGCAGTCTCAAGGCTGCTAAGTGAGTGGAGACAGGGCCCAAATCCAGGATTTCCTGACCCAGCACTTTCTCTACTCGCCACACCAGCCTAACTCACTTATCCCACCCCAAAAAGAAAAAAAATTTTTGGTTTTAAGTCTAAGTAATATAATGGATCAATGTAGTGTCAGCATTCATTTTCTTGACGTTTTCTCCTCTTATTAAGAGAAGGTAGGTAGAAAAATAGAGCATGCAGATTTGAAAGAATATAGCCAAATCTGAACACAGACTTCCTCATAGCAGGGCCAATATCTCATGTAGGGTCAGATATTCCGAAATAAAACAAGCCATTAAGAATGATCAGAACACAGAAGAAGCCACCGTAATTCTCTTTCCTCTCAGAGGAGGAGCTCCACTTTCAAATCCTTAGAAACACGGGGTAACAAATAGTTTTACCTTTGATATCTATAACCAATACACACACAGTGATGTTAGTTTATATAGTGTTCAAGGCAAACAGAAGCACAGAGTATCATATCAGCATAGTTTTTAGAATAATAAATATCAAGAAAATTCCTCACGAATAGTCTTGGTTTCCTCCCTCCCTTGCTGTGGGAGGCACTGAATGCCTCTTCCCTTTCCATAAGAAAAATAATATGGATACTATTAAAGAAACACTTTTAAGTGTTAAATCTGACTGCTGTTCTCATTTCCATCAAAGTCATAAGATGCTTTGTGTTTTCTCACGAACTAGTGATGCTGATTTTGTTGTCACTGCCACATAGCTTTCTGCTCTTAATTCATGAACCTAAGATGTTTTGGAAACAAAAAGAAATTTTCCCTTTAAAAAAATTTTAAATATGTTCCTAAGCTACATACTTCAAATGTGGCTGTTAGGATCTATTCTTGCATCTGTGAGTTAGAGCTGGCAGGTCCAGATCTACGATTTGGCACTAATGCAAAGCAGGCTGGAAAATTTCAAATCCAGACACAGAAGGGATATTAAAAAAAAAAAGTAGGCCTTGCTGGTTTAGCGTATGCCAGACTGTACCTATAGAACTTTTGTAGAAAGAAGACTAAAAATGCTGCTTGTATAGCATTTGTCTCTTTTGTAAGGAAAAAAAAAAGGTGTGTGTGTATGGGAAATAAAAAGGAAATCTCAATGCAGGACATGAATAGCATTTTGTTTCAAGCACCTCTCAGTGTGGAATTAAGCTAATTTTAAGTAGGGCTTCCTTATGGTAGTGTTACAAAATAATTGCCAAAATTGTTTGTATTCCATTACCCAGGAAGATGTGATTCTTGGTGATTCTTTTTAAATTGTAGTTTTGAGATTTGTAAAGCTAATTCTGTTTCTTTAAATCTGTCATAAAGATGTTTCTTTTTCCTTAAATGAAGAGCAAATTATTATCACACATTTTGATAACTGTGGTCTGTGTGATCACACTGAATTTTGTATGAACTTTGGTTAATAAAACACAAATATTATCATCCACAAAATTAAATGTGCCATTAATTTAGCATTCCTAGACACAAGACTGATAAATGGTATTCTGTCACGAAAGTGTGTCACACATTATTTTGTCTTAATTGCCATTTCCCTGGATTCTAATTTTTTATTATCATTGCAGATGTGAATACTGTGCATAAACCTATGGAATTTATGCAAACATGTATAAAATAGAATTGGAAATAACTAAGTTCTTGTTGCGTACGGACTGGTAACATGATGTAGTTATGTGTACATGACATGTGCTTCTAGAACTGGATCATAGTCATTATCTATAGATGGGTTTGCATGAATTTTTTTTATCTAATTTTTTTGTTTCTTATTTTGTGTTGTATCTACTACTTGTGATCATGTGCTCATGCCTTATATCATGGAAGAGGTTAGTTCAGTATTAGTACCTGGTATGGTACTAATGGTAATAGATTCTAATTGTATCTAAAGGTGACCCCAAATGGTGGTACCTAATTCTGTATAAAGAGCATTGGAAGTGGCCTGTTGCATTTGTTTTTTAATCTGTTAAAAGAATGTTAATAAAAATCCTCTTTCTAGAAAAAAAAAGAAACATGGGTTAGGTAGCAACTCTTTTAGCACTACCATTAAGCAGCATGTGCAAGAGTTGACAGGGAATAGTCTCGGGCATAATGAATAAGAGGAGGGTTTTTTTTCCCCCTTTGCTAGGCAATGGGGTTAAGTGACTTGCCCAGGGTCACACAGCTAGTAAGTGTTATGTGTCTAAGGTTGGATTTGAACTCAGGTCCTCCTGAATCCAAGGCCAGTACTCTATCCACTGCACCACCTACCTGCTGGGAGTTTTCAAAAATGCGTAGGAAGAAAGGAATTAGAATTGGAGAAGGGAAGAGCTTGAAGAAAGTAGGAGGGGCACACTGTAGGACATGGGATAGTGCTACCAATAACTGCCTCTGAGGATCAGCACACGTGTGATGCTTACACTGTCTGGTATATAGTAGGCTATGAACTGAAGTTAAACAGAAAATTTAAATTTGGGGAGTGAAGACTTTATAAACTCAAATGGATGATTCTCTTCCTCTTCTAGTTATCATCTCTTTCTAATGCTGTCCCACTGCCTTGCCACTATTCCTGTAATTTTTCTGGAAAATCTATACTAAAGAAAGATGAGGAAACCAAAACAGACTCAATACCTTGCTATCTGAAGTAGCAAATATCCATGTTTTAATCTTGAAGAGTGGTTATATTCTCATGTTGTCTTCATTTTTATGCCTTTTTATTTTGCTAGATTTAAGACAATGAGTCAATTTAAAAATATTACATGCTTACTTCTTACACAACACTGTGCTGCACGTTGAGGGAAATGCAAAATTTAGATAAGGCATGGTGCCTACTCTCATGCAATTTATATTTCAAACAGAGAGTATGGTGCTGGCTACTATGGAGAAATTTTTCTAAAAAGACAGGGATGCTGTCTGGTAGGACCAAGCATAAAACTCAGAACTAAGTACTGCATACAGTGATGATACATCTGAGACAAGTTTAGCAACGGAATAACCAAGCACTATAGAAAAAAAATGCCTAGTAATCTATTTTATGAGAATTAGTATAAACTTTTGATCCAAAAAAAATCATGTACATAAAGCAAGAATAAAGTGATGCAAAATAGTTATAACCCTGAACTATGATTCTATAATAGTCATACTGATGCCACGATTGGAAACACATCTAGTTCAATATACTCTGAACTAATGATGAAGTATTTGCGCTTCCCTCCAAAATTTTAAACGTTTAAAAATGACTTTGATTAGATAAAATCTGGCTCAAATCTAACACTCAAAAAGTACACACTATGAGGTATACAGACCCAATAATAATGATATCTCCTCTTCATTATCAAAACCCATATTGATATAGAATTTTAAGGTTTACAAAACACATTCCTCGCAACAACCCTGTGAGGCAGGTAGTGCAAGTGTTTGTATCTCCAGACATTTACAGATGAGGAAAATGAGGATGGGAAGTTATATGATCTGTTCATGGTCACACATATAAAGAGTCTGCCTAAGCCCAGGATTTGAAACAAAATCTCTAGACTACAAGTTCAACCTTCTTTTCACTACATCATAATTGCTTCTCAAATGAAAAACAACAATGATAAAACCAAAACAACAAATCTTACCCTGGTTGTTGCAATACATCTCACTGGAGATCTATATTCTTCCTCCATTTTTGTCAAGGCAATGATGGTTTCTGCAATGGCATTTTTGGTAACCCGGGACCATGCTTCAGATAGATGACCCTATTGAATAGGGCCAGATATTTTTAGGAGACAGGCAGATACAAACAGATTAACTTGGTCATGCTGGTAAGTAACAAAAAAGCAAATTATCTTAAATCAAGTTATCTCTTTCAAATACAATTAACTCTCTGACGCTGTACATACTACGCAGTTTGAGATCAAGGGGCAAAGACTTCTGGGAAAAAAATTTATTCTAAAAGAAAAAATTACTATTCTGACCCAAGAGCAATAAACAAAAGTTTAAGGTTTGATTTCTCTTCCTTCTAATGATTTCACAGGTATTTCTTTGTAGAGATAGATAAACACAGAACGGAAACACTAATCCAGCCATGCCTTAGAAAATGCATTTGAAGAAAACACTTAAGCAACTTGTTGCTTGTTAGTTAATGAGCTAATTTAATAGTGCTTCTGAAGAAAGACCCTTTTTGGAAACTAAGGGTCTACTATATTTAAAGTTATTTCTCAAGAACATAAAAAACTTGTTACCATCAGTCTAAATTGTTTTCAACTCATGAGCACTCTGAAAAAAATCCCATTCTACCAAAACAAACCAACAAGACAAGATATTTATGGTGTTTAGAAGAGAAGGCCATTATATATGTACCTTCCACCTGAATGAAATGCCCTTCCTCATCTTAGCCAATCCTTGTTCAATTGTCTTCTGGGCCTAGAAAGTCTTTTTAGCCCAGAGCAATCAAATCTCTCATTTCTTTTTCACTCATGTATCATTTGCATTTTAGTTATTTGGTGATTTAATCATGTATTGTCTAGTATCGTACTGACAAATTATTTATTGCTTGAATTATTTAACTTTTCACGATGATGCTTTGTTTTCCCAAGCCTGTAAGCTCTGAAGACAGGGACCAAGTTTTATTTCTCTTTTTTGATTAGCACTGTCCTTTGCATAGAGTAAGCACTCAATTGATATTTAATTGGTTTATATGTTGCTAATTTTAAGGTTAAGATACCTTCCCAATTTCCCAGTTGGCTTATTATATACCTGGTATTCGGGGTAATGCACCCTTGCCAAATTGACTCTCAGCAGCTAAAAGCCTGCAGTATTTCTCTGTTCTGCTTGTAAACACCAACTAATGAGTAGCAAATAGAAGCATGAGAGTGATCTTTAATAAAGCAACCATGTAAATAGCAGGCTGAATTAAGTTCTTTTTTAAAATTTTAAAAAAATTTTTAGGCTATTGGGGTTAAGTGACTTGTCCTGGATCACACAGCTAGTAAGTGTTAAGTGTTTGGTCTGAGGCCATATTTGAACTCAGTTCCTCCTGACTTCAGGGCTGGTGCTCTATCGACTGTGCCACCTAGCTTCCCCTGAATTAAGTTCTTAGGCTGCAGCTGCTGAGAGAAATAGCAGAACAAATGGGTGAGTTAACTAATATACTGCATTGAATTTTTTTATTCATTTATTCATTCACTCAGCTAAATGCTTATTTAGGTCCCACCATATTTAGCATACTATGATAGACACTGGGGAAAATACGAAGATAAATAAGACATGGCTCCCTAAAATATTGTAATATCAACCGAAGGTAAGCAATGATGAATCTCAAGAAGTGCTTTTAATTATTGACAATGGATAGTATCGTAGAGAGAAATATTGCTATTCAAACCTTTGCCTCCCCATTAAAGTATATACACTCAAGGGTTTATGTGCCTGCTTAAACTATTACCTAGAATTCAGCTTCCATTGCTGCACTCTGTAAACATGAGTGGAATATTAGCTACATGGTGGACTATGCTACCCAGCATGGTCTGTCTGTCTATATTAGTATCCCAGCTGAATGCAAAATTAACTAATGGGCAAAGGCCAAATTTCTTTAGGTCATTATCTATTAACCATCATCTTCCCTCCCTGACACCTTTGCCAGAGGGACACAGTAAATAGCTCTGAGAGCTGAGACAGATAAATAGCTATGTGCCACAACCAAAATAAAAAGTGTACCATAATTAGAAATAATTCCTTATGTGAGAGGGTTTTGTTTTTAAAATCAGGGAAGTGCTAAATCCTTTTAAACTTTTTGCTTTCCACAATCTGGGTAAAAATAATATTCTGTTGCTTTAAACTTAAACGCTTATTAAATAATATATTGAAAGAAATAGTTCTGAACAGAGGGATGAAGTGATTTAATAACTTTCCAACTCTTGTAACAATTCTGAAAGCAGCTTCATTTGAAAATTTGGCAGAATTCTCACAGAAGGAATAAATTTAATACTAACCACAAGTATGTTACATATGATATATGGAAATGTTGGCATCTTAAGGAACACATGAAGATAGTCTACTTATAGTATGGAATGCAGAGGAATACTGCCACTGATGAAATGATGGATAGTTTGACATACTGAAGAAGTAACATTCAGCAGAATATTATAAAAGTGCTTTAATTTACTGTAACATGCAAAAAAAATCCCCACAAGGCTGATGCCTTCCTCAAAATTCCGCAGAATAAATTCTTTATTTTGGCTAATCACACTATTTAGTCTCACCAACAGAATTCTCAGGAGAATGGAAACTTACTGCTGCCATGTCCTTTATAAGTTTAATAATGATCTCTGAAATCTGGGTGGGAGTTGAGCCCTTCATCCACCAATGGCTTTCACCTCGTCGAATATAACTACACAAGACAATTAATAAAAATATTTTATCAAAACAATGCATAATAAAAATCCAAAGAATTAAGGTTTCATTATCCAACTTAAATGACTTCAGAAGTTAGTTTGTGCATTGCTTATTTCGTAACACACACATTTGGTACAGAAATAAACAGGATATTTCATTTGGCAGGAGTGAAGAGAGGAGACTTGAGGAGAATAAGTTCTGGATTTGGAGACAGAGGACTGATTTCAGTTCCCAGCTATGATATGATTAAACCCTCTGGATCTGTTTCCCCATCTGCAAAATTACTTCAGAGTAGCCTTTTAGTTAAAAATATAAGATCTTAAGGATCTGATTTTATCTTTTAAACTCAATGTAAGAAAAGACTTTAAACTTAGCTCTATGGAGAGTACTGAGAGAACTTAACATACAGTTAATCTCATTAATTTTCATATTCTCCTTGTAAAAACGGTAGTGGTAACTGGCAAACAATTTTTTAGAACATGAAAACTTGAGGGAAGGGAAAAGTGATTTATCTAAGATAAATGAGTGAATCAATGATGTGAATATAGATCACTGAATTACAGAACAACAGAACTGTAAGAGATCTTAGAGGTCATCTAGTTTGACTTAGTCATTGTGAACTTGCCTGAAGTCAAACATTTAGTTCTTTGACTAGAAACTAGCTGTAGCTGTATTTTGAATTCCCAAATAGAGGGTCACTTCATTTATTGGCTTAAATATTAAATAACCCTCACCAACCTGGAATTGAAAATCATTGGAAGGGTAACTGTTGTAACTCCTTTCCCTGCAGCAGTGCCAGCTGTTCCTGTGATGGTAGTTCCTTTGGCCTTTAACTGTACTGTGAGGGCTTTGGCTATGCATCCCAGGAACATATCCAAGATGCCTAGTTTATTCCAGTCTCCTTTTTCTGTTGAATGAATTATATCACTAATATCAGCTGGTGGAAGGGACTTCACACCTATGATGCTGGCCAGGCGATTAGGAGTCACTTCAGGCAAAACCCGCCTTAGCAAAGAGGTCACCTAGTAGCAAAATCAAAAAAGAGTAGTTCAAAGCAATATGCATCAGAGCAGGCATCTTCACCACTGGGTTGTGAATTGGCATTTTCTTTACTATAGATGGCATGATCCCATGTTTCAATGGACTCAAATCAAAAGCTCATGTTATCAAACTTTTGAATTTTTGCTTTCCTAAAGACTCAATTGTTGTCACTAGAAAAGCTTCAAGGATAAAAGATGAATTTCTCAAATGGTCATTACTCCAACACACCAAAAAAACCCCATATCTTTTGTGGTAGGATCAGAACAGATTTATCATGTACTAAGAGTGTATTTATCATATATTAGCATAACAGAATACACTTTGCTTTTTCAAAGCCTCAGCTCTGTCATGAAAGCATGGAATTAAAATAAGAACAAAAGGCCTAATCTACTTTTAAAGCCTTAATATAATTTCCCTGGAGTAATGTAGTTGAATAAATTGTTACCTGTCTCTGCACTCTAGGAGAGGCTGTATGTAGCAATGAAAAGAGATCCTGAAGCAGAGTTAGTTGCTGAGCAAGATACTGTCGGCCCACATTAGACCCACTCAATGCTAGGACCATGGAGAGCAGTTCAAAGCAATATGCATCAGAGGACGCATCTTCATCATTGGGCTGAGAATTAGCATTCTCCTTGCTGGAAATTGCATGTTCCCACTCTTCACGGACTCGGGTAGCTTCCATTCTAATGGCCTGAACTATATGGGCACATACCTACATAAACCAAATGACAGTACATCAGACAGAAATTTAAGAAAAAAACCACCACATTTTTGGTATAATGTGCACCCTGTAAATACACGAATAAGAATTGATGATCCATTTCACCCATTCTGCTAAACAACTCTCTACTATATCTATTCTACCATTTTTATAGTATGTATTAATACCAATTATGGAAAATAATTTTGAATAATAAAATTTTCTTCCCTTTGTGGACTTTTGATATATTAAGATTACAAATTTTAAATTTAAGTAAAGTACTACTGGGTAATTATCAATTCATGGAAAAGAGTATACACAATTTTATAACTCTTTTGATATAGTTCCAGATTGCTCTCCAAAAATGGTTGGATCAATTTACAGCTCCACCAACAGTGTATATTAGTGTCCCAATTTATCCACATCCCCTCTAACATTTGTTGTTTCCTCCTATCATTTTAGTCAATCTAACAGGTAAGACACTAAAGCTCTAAGTGCTCTAAGCAGTTCTCTAAGACTGTATATTGCAAAGATGTTAACTGACATTGATAGAGAGTTTTCTCATCTGGGAGATCTGTATATCATTGAAATCATAGGTGCAGTCCTTATTCCCTATAACTAAATAGTGCTTTAAGGTTTGGAAAACACTTTAAATACATGATTTCATTTGTTCCTTATAGAAACTTTCTGAAATAGGTACTATAAGTATTATGAATTATTATTATTACCATCACGTAGAGTAGGAAACAGAGTTTGCCTGTGGTCACATAACCAGTAACAGCCAGAACTAGAATTTGAATCCACAGCTTGCTGACTCAAAGTCCAGCAGTCTTTCTACATTGCAGTCTTTAGTACACTGATTTAGAACAGTCAGAGGTCAGGTAGTTCTGCATTATATTTATCAGGAAACTAAAGGTTAATTATTTAAGTGTTCCATTCTGGAATTTGTAGACTGTTCTGTTCCATTTTTTGAAAATCAGCACAACCTTTGCTTTTCTCTAATCTGGTGTTGCTTCTACCATTTTCTATGATCTTTCAAGTATCAGTAAGAGTGTCTAAGCAATCCTATCTGTCGATTCTTTCACTACCCAAACCTGTAGTTCATCTAGGCCAGCTAAATGTCTTTTGAGTTCATCAAACACAGCCAAGTTTTACTACTAGCTCCTTTCTAGCATTCTCTCTTAGGTGAACTTTGGGTGTCTCAACTGCTTTTCTTTGTTTGTTATTTCTATGCTTTCTCTTTATTACCATAAATAATGTATAGGTGTTTTCTCCCTTTCCCAATATTTTTGGTTGGAAGCTCTTTAGAGTTGTGAAACAATGGGGGTAGCAAAGTGGCACAGTGGATAGAGTACTGGCCCTGGAGTCAGGAGGAGCTGAGTTCAAATCCAGCTCAGACACATGATACTTACTAGCTGTGTGACCCTAGGCAAGTAACTTAACCTCAACTGCCTCACATGATACTTACTAGCTGTGTGACCCTAGGCAAGTAACTTAACCTCAACTGCCTCACCAAAAAAAAAAAGATTTGTGAAACAAGCAAATACATTTTACCAACTTTTGCTGGTTGTTCATTCTTGGCCAGGGAATCTATTCACCCTCATTATTTTCATAGCCTCTGCAACCTGCTTTCTAAAGTTAATATACTTGCCTTCCTATTAAACCTAGGTAACACAGTGGATAAACCACTGGGCCTTAGTGTCTCAGACACTTCTAGTGGTGTGACCCCAGGCAAATCATTTAACCTTTGCCTCAGTTTCAAAAACTGTAAAATAGAGATAATAATAGCCCTGACCTCACAGGGTTGTGGTGAGGATTAAATGAGACACTTAGCACAGGGCCTGGCATATACCACTTAATAAATATTTTTTCCTTTGCTTCCCTTCCTTTTCACTCATGCCCCTTTCCATCTTCTGGCATGCATGGAAACCTGGGTCTCTCCACTTGCTACTATATCCCTTGTCACCATCTCCAGGACATTCATGATTTCTAACACACTAGAGCAGGAGAGGAAGTAGGCATATTCCTTTCTCCTCACTGACAGTTCCAGAATTCCCCTCTGACATCATTGCTCACCAAGTTCTCCTCTTTTGAGGTTCACTTCACCCAGAGATATCACCCTGTCTGGATCTCAGTGGCAGTTATCTACTGGGCAATAAATCAATAAGCACTTTGTTTACAATGTGCCAGGCACTGGGGCCACCAGGTCATTCTACCTTTTTTTTTTTCTTCACCTATGACAGGATTGGACTAGATGGTCTCTGAGTTCCTTTCCAGCACTAGTCCTATGATTTTCCTGGATACACTTCACTCCATTGCCCTCTCCTTGTTTTCTTTCTGCCTGACGACTCATTTTAGGATTATCATTCGTGTCACGCCCCCCAAATGTGGGTTATTGCAAAGCTCTGTCCTGGGTCTTCTTTTCTTTTTTTAGATAACCTCATTTGCTTATATGGGCTCTATTATCATCTCTATGCGAACTATCTATCTAGTTCTAGCATCTCTCCTGAGCAATAATCTGACACTACCAATGGTTTACTGTATATAGTCCCAGGAAAATGTAAACGCTTTGAAGACTGGGACTATTTTTCATTTTGTTTTTTATATTCACAGTGCCTAGCATAGGAGGCTTAAGAACACAGTAGGTATTTAATAAATGCTTGCTGGATTGGGTTCTTAACACAGTGCCTGGCACATAATAGGCACTTAATAAATGTTTGTTGATTGAACGATTCACTGCTAAACTCCTTTTAAAAACTGAATATATTTGAAACCTCATTTCCCATCGTCTAGTTTTCTTAGCTCCTGTGAGCAAATGACAGTCTTTTCTTCTAGTCAGCTAAATGACCAATCACAAGTGTTCAGTTGCTTTTTGCTGAAAGGCTTTTTTTTTTCTACTTACTTCCAGGTTTATAGGGGCTTCCATTGACAGAGAATGCTGGACATTTAACATCTGGCTAATTGAATTATTACTATAGTAGTTCAATTGAGTAAACCAACCTGCTTTTGTAAATTTGTTAGCTTACTCCTACTGAATATGATTCCAACCATGTGTTCTTTCAGGTCAGCATCTGATGTCGCCTTTGTGGGAAAACAAAACAAAACAAAACAAAAAACAAAACAAATTATCTTCAAAATTGATTTGTCTGACATTTCAAATTATTTTCTATAAAAATTAGGAATTTTCAAAAAAGCACAGTGACTTCAAATTGAGACTGGTGAGACAAAGCAAATAGATAAACTTTGGGCTGTTTTGTTTTTCACTCTGAAAGTTATGAGAAATCAAGAAGGTAACAGACAAGATGTCCCAAGTTTCAAAAAAATTTTTTTTTTCGAAATTTTGCCCAGGGCAATCATAGAAGTTCAAGACAGAACAGTATACTGTAGACACCAGATGTTTTTTTTTTTCAGGAAGCCTTTTGTAACTGCTTCAACTACCAATGATTCTTTTCCATCTATGAAGTCAAATTTTGAGTACAGTTTGTATCATTTACTACAGTCAACCTGACAGTGGAGAGAGTACCTGGCATTTGGAATTGGGAATTTAAATTCTTGCCTTAGACACGAAAGTGACTTCTCTTTCCCTCATCACATATTACCACATATTATACTTATCTATGTATATGATACAGTTCCCCTATTAGCATGTAAGCTAAAGGCAGACACTATGTCAATTTTCATCTTTGCCTCCATGGTGCTTAGCAAAAAGCCTTGCACATATTAGGCACTTACTGCTGGCCTGAACTAGATGAATTTGAATTTTTAAAGCCTCCTCCTGGTCTTTAGCCAAAAGGCTTCTTATATAGGGAGGACATGGATGTTTCACACATTTTTTTTTAAATTAAGGATAATAGATCAAGGTAAGTACACTTTGTGGATAAAGCAAAGTTTACATCAATTCAAAATACTAGACTAAAACAACCTCACTTTTTTTGTTTTGCTAGATTTCATAGGAAAAATATAAATCCTGTAAAAGATACATAGAAAGCTTGTATAACATGATCTTAAAATGTATAGAAAGAGTCAGAGCAACATGTTCTAACTTGGGAGAAGTTAAAAACATTGACCAAATTGAAATAAGAGTAAAGTGGGAAAAGAAAAGGAAAGAAAGATTTGAAGAATACAACTAAATACATTGTGTACTTTTTCCTCTCCTTCAGGTGAAGACAGAAGTGTTTTTTCCTCTTGTTCTGGTGTAGGTTCAGCATCTCCTGAGATAAGTTTTCCAAATACCTGATAGGAATGAAAGAAATATTAGAAATTACTATAAAAAAACAGGAAACCTGTTTGGAGATTATACTATCAAGTCTGTTATCCTCCAAGAATTTCACTATTTAGAATTCAAATTCAAAATGGTATCAAATAACTACAAAAATTTCTAAATAGCCATGTACTCATTTCTTTTACCTTCTATACAGAAGTCACCTTGTTGGTTGTTTACTTAAAGACCCGAAGCTACTACTTCCTGATTGCTTGTTTCAAGTAGCATTTCAATGAAGATAATTCCTGAGAATGACTTTTCTATTCCTGACCTCTCCTTTGGGCTCTTGATTTGCATCTCTTTCTGCCTATGACATGTAGGTATGTAACATGGATTATTATCTGCAACTCATACTCAATGTATGCAGAACCAGACTTTACCTTTCCCCCTTTCTTCTAATTCTACTATTTCAACCAGTGGCATGACTATTCATCCATTTTCGAAAATTGTGAAACTATGATATCACCCTTGATTCTTCTGTCTCTTCCGCCTTAATGTGAATGAAACATTTACATCCAATTACTTACTATGTCCTGTAAATTCCACTGAGCACATGTCTGAATATGGACAAAATTAATCCTGAATATCTGCCTCTCAGAGAAGAATTTACTAAGCAGTATGATCCCTAAATCAAGCTGTCTAGTAGTACAAAAGGGATATTTCTGGGACAGCTCTAGCCTTGGGGTAATTCCATGTTTGAGTTTAAGGAGCTGACCTTTTAGAGATAAAGTGAAATGGGTGAGCAACTTCCCCTTGGAAATAGAAGAGAGTTTCCTACATGAGGCTTTTTGCTGGAGAAGCAATAAGAGCTTAGACTCACAATATGTAGGAACAGAACGTGAATACCAATATTTTGCTTTACGCTATTACTGGAGTTATTCAGACGGTGCAGGTCCAACAGGAGGCAGAGAGGAGGAGGCCACAAAGTGTTTGTCTTCTAGGAAGAGTCTAACTATAGGGTGGGGCTACAAGGCTAGAAGGCACTGGCTAGGGCCATGTGGGAATGAGGGATGCCAAGATGTTGCTAAGCTGTTCCCTTCTTAGACCAGCTTTTGAATTGTTGTGACTGTGTTATGGGTATGTTTATGAACTAAAAATCCTTCACACTTCTGCATTTGCTATGATAAGAAATAAAGGCTGACCTCTACATGACATGCATTTATTATCTTGGGTGTATATACAGGAGCTAGGGACTCTGTAGCCACATTTGTGGGACTCAAGATACCAGCTGAATACATGAACTACATACAGCTTTTCCCAGGTAAACAACAGAAGGGGGCAAAAGAACCAAAAGAGTGTGATTAGTTCCACAGACTAGAAATGGTTCATATAAACTTAGAGCTTGGGGAGAACAAAGTTATATCTATTTAATATTTACTCATTTGTATACATATTAAATACACAGTAAGCTCCTTGGGCTACAAAGGTCTGTCGTGGGCTCCCTTCTTTCCTCTCTCTACACTTAGTCTCTAGGTATCCCCATTCAAATATTTTCTATATACATAGAGAGCTATATACCCAGCTTTAGTGTCTCTTCTACAGTCTCTCACCATTAAAAGCCTAGTGGATTCTGAAATAGATATTGTGCATGCATTTCAAATTCAACATATAAAACAGAACTCATTATTTTTCTCCCCACACTCATTTGTTTCCCAAAATTCCATTTCTTTTGAAGGCACTCCTACCTCTCTAAGTCTCCCAAATTTGCAGCCATGGAGTCACCCTTGACTTTTCACTCTCTCTCATCCCACATATTGAGTTGGTTCTTAAATCTTGTTATCTACAGCTCCACAATATTTTTCACATCCATTCCATTCTTTCCCCTCATGTGGCCACCACCCCAGTTCTGGCCCTAATTACCTTTAGCCCAGACTTTTACAATAACCTCCTAATTGTTCACCTTGGACTTTCTCTATAATCTCTGATTTGTTCTCCACACAGCTGTCAAAGTGACCTTTATAACATATACATCTGACTGGCATTATTCTGCTCAATAAACTTGAGTGGCTCCCAGTTATCTTTAAGACCAAATGCAAAATCTTCTGTTTAAAGCATGTCTAAAGCTCTTCACATGTGGGTTCCAACCCACCTTAACCTACATTACTCCCCCCTCATGTTCTCTTTGATCCACCCAAACTGGGTATCTTCCTGTTTCCTCACACATGACAGTTATATTTTCATGTTGTTTTGCCCATTAGTATATAAATTCCACGAAGGGAGGGGATGTTTTAATGTTGTCTTTGCACCCAAGTGTTTGTTGATTGGTTGCTTCTCTTTCTGCTGATTTTGATTCAAATGTTTCCCATCATGCTTCCCCCTGCTGGTTTCTACATAGGGCCATATCCCCCTTCTTCTCAAAACCCTTCACTGTATTTTTACTGCATACCAAGAAAAGATCAAGCTCTTCTGTCTAACATTTCAAGTTGGTGCTGTTTCCCTTTTCCCATCTCATTCAATGTTCCTGTCAAATGGCCCCCCACTTTTGCACGTTTCCCCAATTCCAGGCCTCCATCTCTGCTATTCTTTGTATCTAAAGTGCCATTCCTTCCCTTCTCTGTCTGATGAATTCCTTCATGGCCTTCCAAAACTAACTCAAATGCTCTCTTTTCCATGAAATCTTCCCTGTTTTCCCATTTCTCCATCCCACTCTGTCACTACTGACTGATAAGGATGCACTTCACATAACACTTTGTTTTGTAACTCTTTAATCCAATTTACAGTGAACAATATCGGTTATTGCTGGTGTCTGAGTAGGCTATAATCACCTATTAGATTGTGAGCTACATGAACAGAGGATTTGTGTCTTTTAAAATTTTTTTCTATTAATTTATTTTTAGTTTTCAACATTCACTTTCACAAGATTTTGAGTTCCAAATTTTCTCCCCATCTCATCCCTCCCCCAATCCCAAGACAGCATGCATTCTAAATACCCTTTCCCCTAATCTGCCCTCCCTTCTATCTCTCCCCCCTTCTCTTATCCCCTTCCTTATCTATTTTCCTGTAGGGCAGGATAGATTTCTATATCCCTTTGTCTGTTTATCTTATTTCCCAGTTGCACATAAAAACAATTTTTAACATTTGTTGTTAAAACTTTGAGTTCCAATGTCTCTCCCTTTCTCTCTCCCCACCCTCCCTCATTGAGAAGGCAAGCAATTTGATATAGGTTATTCATGTGTAGTCATACAAAACACTTCCATCATAGTCATGTTGTGAAAGACTAACTATATTTCCTTCTATCCTATCCCATTCTCCGTTTTTTCTATTCTCTCCTTTGACTCTGTCTCTCCTCAAAAGTGTCTGCTTCTGATTACCCCCTCCCCTAATCTGCCATCCCTTCTATCATCCCCCCCCCTCTTATCCTCTTCCCCCCTATTTTCCTGTAGGGTAAAATAGATTTCCATACCCAATTGAGTATGTGTGTTATTCCCTCTTTAAGCCAAATCTGATGAGAGTAAGATTCATTCATTCCCTCTCACTTCCCCACTCTTCCCCTCCATGGGTAAAAGCTTTTTCTTGCCTCTTTTATGTGAGATAATTTATTCCATTCTATCTTTCCCTTTTTTTCCCCCAGTACAATCCTCTCTCATCCCTTAATTTTATTTTTTAGATATCATTCCTTCCTATTCAACTCAATCTGTGCCCTTTGTCCATATATATATATGTATTCCCTTCAACTACCCTAATACTGAGAAATGTCTCATGAGTTACAAATATCACCTTTCCATGTAGGAATGTAAACAGTTCAAACATTAATAAGCCCTTATGATTTCTCTTTCCTGTTTACCTTTTCATGCTTCTCTTGAATCTTGTATTTGAAAGTCAAATTTTCTATCCAGCTCTGGTCTTTTCATCAAGAATGCTTGAAAGTCCTCTATTTCATTGAATATCCATTCCTCCCCGCCCCCGCCAAAGTATTATACTCAGTTTTGCTGTGTAGGTGATTCTTGGTTTTAATCCTAGCTCCTTTGACCTCCAGAATATCATATTCCAAGCCCTCTGATCCCTTAATGTAGAAGTTGCTAAATCTTGTGTTATCCTGATTTGTTTTCCCACAATACTTGAATTGTTTCTTTCTGGCTGCTTGTAATATTTTTTCCTTGACCTGGGAACTCTGGAATTTGGCTATAATATTCCTAGGCATTTTCCTTTTGGGAATCTCCTTCAGGAGGTGATTGGTGAATCCTTTCAATTTCTATTTTATATTCTGGTTCTAGAATATCAGGGCAGTTTTCCCTGATAATTTCTTAGATATGTGTCTTACTGAAAATTTGCATCCCTAGGAAGTGAGCACAGTGGTTTCCACTTAGTAAGCACATAATAAATGTGTGCTGAACTACTAGAACCAGCACCAACAGTGTCCTGGGATATCTATAGCCAGTTGTTTGCTATAATATGGTATCTATATCCAAGACCGAAAAAGATGAGAGAGAAGAAGGAATAAAAAGGGAGTGAGAGGCACTGAGGGTTGTGAAAAGTAAAGAGAGTATGGTCCACATTTGCAGTTAGGTATCCATACTCTATTTTGCTAATAATGCCTTCTTACTTTTAAAAACTGAAAAGGAGGAAAATGACAAAAAATAAAAAGATATTTGGAAAAATGTATAAAGAAAAATGGGGCCAGCAGAAGACAGAGACCAAGCCTGGAGTCAGGAAGTCCTGAGTTTAAATCCAGCCTCAAACACTTATTAGCTTTGGGAACCTCTGTTTGCCTCAGTTTCTTCACCTTTCACAGTAAAATGGGGATAGCAACAATAGTATTAACCTCCCAGAGTTGCTGTGAAGATCAAATGAGGCTTAAGCAGACTGCAGTATGTTCCTAAGAATAACTTGTATGCAAGAAAGATATTAAAAATACTACCATGGATAGTATATGACTAGGATAAGAGTAGAGTCTCACATAATGAGACTTAGTGGCAATAGACTGAACATAGAACTATCTTTGATATTAAAAAAAAGGGAACCCTTTGATGTGTTGAGTAGACCCTTTATGGAAGCTTTATCATAAATCCACACAGAATCAGAAGATGTGAAGGGGTCATATCCTACAATGGTTGAGGGAGTACATGTACCAATGAAACTATGGAATTAAAGGATCAAAGTGAGTCATTCTACATTCAAAATAATTATCCTTAATTCCTCTCTCCTTTGCCCCACATACCAACCAGTTTTTAAATCTTGCTAATTCCATCTCCTGATGTCCAACCCCTTCTCTTCATTTATAAAGACATCACCTCACTTAGTCTAATCTTGTCTAGATTACTGCCACGGCCTCCAAATTGGTCTCCCTGAATCAAGTCTCTCTTTATTCCAATTTATCTTCCACACAGCTGCCAAAGTGGTTTTATTCAGTGGGGTTTTTCCTTTGATTGTATCATTCTGCTACCCAATAATCTCCAGTGGCTCCCTGTTATCCCAGCTTAAAAATCAAATTCTTTTGTTCGGCATTTAAAGCTCTTCACAACCAGTCCCAAACCTATCTTTTCAGACTTATTACACACTACCACCCACTCTATAGTCTGGCCAAACTGGCTTTCACTCTGTTCCTCACACATGGCACTCTCCTTGTCCTCTCTATGTTTTTGCTCTGGTGGTTCTGCCTGCCTGGAATGCACTTGCTCCTCAGAGAACTACCCATTTCCTTCGAGGCAGCTAGGTGGCGCAGTGCATAGAGCACTGGCCCTGAAGTCAGGAGGACCTGAGTACAAATCTGGCCTCAGACACATAACACTCCCTTGCTGTGTGACTCTGGGCTAGTCATTTAACCCCAATTGCCCTTCTCCCCCCGCCCAAAAAAAAAGTATTCATAAAAAAAACCCCACCCATTTCCTTCAAGATGCAGCTCAAGTTACATCATCACAAAGCCTTTTCTGATCCTTCTCAATTCCAAGTTCCATCCCTCCCTGTTTGCTTTATTTTGTATTAATCTGTATATGCTTATTTTACTACAAAGTAGTCACTTCATAATTGTTGACTGATTATTTCAATCAAGGATATGTGGCAATGATAACATACCTGGGAAGTAATAAGTCTGAATACTCGGAGAGTCTCTGCTTCACAGTTTCTTTGTTGAGCCACACTAGCTGAGATCTGACCAGCAATTTTAGTGCTTTCACCATCTTTCCAGCCCAGGACTTTAACTTGTCGAACTCTCAATGTGTTCTCTGGGCCCTTTAATTCAATTTTTACGATGTGGTTATCTCCACCTGGAAGTTCACTTGTTACCCAACCAATGTGCCTAGAATCTAGGTCAACCTGGAAGCAGAGAACAGAGATATGATTGAAATCAGACAGACCATTGCCTACAACAGAATCCTAAAAGTACATGTACAAACTACCCAAGTAGCACCATTAAAAGTAATTATAACTACAAGTAGAACATGTGAAACATATAAGCTCAATAAGGCTTTTTTTTGTTTAACTGTGTATGACAGTAATATTTCAATAACTACTTTGTTATTTAACTTGACATTTGCACCAATACTATTTGAACTGGTATTTTCAATTTTCATAAGAGTAATGACTAAAAACTAAGACAGTCTCACTTAACTAGGAGTATTTTCTCAAGATCTACAACATTTAACATCCCAGATGATTTATTACCATTTATTACCAATTTCAGATGATTTATTACCATTATCATTTGTTCATTTTAGAACTATATCACAGTATTCTGTTATTTAAAAACAAGAAAAAAAGTCAATTTCCTATACAGTGAGATGGTATGGTAGATAACAGTGTTACACTTGGTGTCAAGAAGACCTGAGTTCAAATCCTGCCTCAGACATGTACTAGCTGTGAAAATAAATTATCCTGTGTCTGCTTCAGTTTCCTCATTTGTAAAATAAGAATAACAATGACATTTTACTCACAAGGTTGTTATAAAGATCAAATGAGACATCATATATAACGTACACAATGCCACCTATTATTACTATTATTATTAAATCACAGATAGAAACAGAATTATAAAATCTTAGAGTAAGAAGGGATCACAAATATTATTTGTAATCCAAACACTCAAATCCTGAATCCTATCCACAGCATTCATTGCAAATGATCATGATTGGTACCATAATTCCCCTCTTCAATGATAGGAAACTACTCTGGAACAGCTAAATTTTTTTTTAAAACTCTAATTATTAGAAAGGGGCAACAGTGGATAGAGTGCCAGGCCTGGAGTCAAGAAGACTCTTTTTTGTGAGTTCAGTCTGGCTTCAAATACTTACTAGCTATGTGACCCTGGGCAAGTCACTTAACGCTGTTTGGCTCAGTTTCCTCATCTGTAAAATGAGCTGGAGAAGGAAATGGTAAACCACTCCAGTATCTTTGCCAAGAAAACCTCAGATGGGATTACAAAGAGTTGGTCACAATGGAAAAATGACTGAACAATTTTTTAAAAGTTTTTCATCATCTTAAGCTTAAATCTTTCTCACAGCTCTGACAAAATTCCATTTCCACAAGAAGAATGAGATAAAATTATGAGAAATTTTTCTGATTTTTGAAGTTGATACTTTACAGATACAGACAATCTCTAACACTGAAGTGAGATGCTGTACACAAATAATTCATTTGTAAATTTGGTTATCTGTAACTCAGGACATGTTTCCTTACAGAAACAATTATAAGACAGCGATGTTTTCATGCTAGCTTATAAAAATCTTTTTTGTGTGTGTGTGTAGTGCATTTGAGGTCCAAATAACCCTTTTAGGCAGACGATGATAGAAGAGCTGGATGGGTGAAAGTGCAGGTTCCTGAGAAGCTTCTGTTTTTTTGTTTTTGTTTTTTTTGGTTGAGCAATGGGGGTTAAGTGACTTGCCCAGCGCCACATAGCTAGTAAGTGTTATGTATCTGAGGTCGGATTAGAACTCAGGTCCTCCTGAATCCAGGGCCAGTGCTCTACCCATTGTGCCACCTAGCTGCCCCCTCCTGGGAAGCTTCTGAAGTAATGACAATGGAGGTATTCCCAAGCAGACTACTGGAAAACTGGTGAATGGGTGCCTACATTGGAACTCACCAGTATAGAGATGCCCCTTAGGTCCCCTTCACCTCCCATCATTTATTAAAAGGTAGAATTTCAATTACCTGTTTGATTCTGCACAGATCTTCTACTGCTTTGCCAGCCAAGAAAGTCATTGAGGTCACTTTGTTCTGAAACAGACAAGAAAGACATTTAAACACTACTTTCATCATGTAATTTCTGTACTGAAGAACCTATGATGCTTTCCTACTGCCTACCACATTCCCCCTGTCTCCCTCTTCTATGACACCTTCTAACAACTTTGACCTTCTCCAAGTAATTACTGCACTTAGACCTTCTACCACATCACTTAACACAATAATGCTGTTCTTAATAGAAGAGTGTCATTCTAAAATGTTATGTTAATCTTGACTTCTTTAATAACACTCTAAGATCTTTGAGATCACAGAACCAGCTGTATATCTTCTGGTGTGCCCCAGAGCACCTAAAAAAGTGAAGCCCACAGTGTAGGCACTAAACACCAGCTGACTGAGTTTTCCTTCCTTTCAATTCCATATTTATCAAACGAATGCCTGCTCTCAGCATTCTATTTCTCATCATCCATTTACTCCTTAACTCTAGTTTCCACCCCCACCACTGCTATTTCTCTTTCATGCCCCTAAATGTACATGTTCTTCAAAGTTTAGCTCTCAGAGCTCTCCTCCCCTCTGCTTGATCGTCTCTTCTTTGGAGAGCTTCATCTGTTTATAGTTTCAACTATTACCCCTGGGCAGGAGATTTCCCAAGCTAGGTTAGAAGCCTCTGCTTCCCCAGTTCCACATCTCTAACTGCTTGATGGATATTTCTATTTATAAATCTTGTTGTCACCTAGAACTCAATATGCCTATAACAAAATTTATCATCTTCTTCCTCCCCGAATTAGATTATTGTTCTAACAAAGCCACGGCATTTCAGAAATGGAAGGGGGCTTAGATGAAGGCAGTGAGGCCCAGTAAGTTAAAGAGAAAGAACTATTCTATTTCTGATAGTGTTACCATTATTTCACTGGAAGCATTATAAATGCTAGTTGCTGAATCTATCATTTTTTGTTACCTATCTCTATTTTACCCTTTAAATCACTAGTTTTTATTTCCTTTTTTTTTATCTCTCTCTTCTTTCCCATTCCTACTGCTCTTATCACCTCATGCCTTGATGATTTCCAAAGCCTCTTCACTCATTTCCTGTTGCCCAGTCTCTCTATGTTCCGAATATATTATATTATGCACACCACTGCTAGATGGATCTTCCTCAAATATAACTTTAAAAATGTCACTCTTGTGCAAAAAAATTTAATTATCCCACGGTTTAAAGAACAAATATCAGATGTTTAGCCTTGGATTTAAGGTCCTCCATAATTTGGCCTGAATCTATCTTCCTAGCTTTATCAAAATTTCCATATAGCCAAACTTTTCTACTCATTGTTCCTTACACATACTTCATGAAATTGCTCATTACTTCTGTCTAATGAGAATGCTATCCCTACTCTTATTTGCTTATTTAAATTTTACCAATCCAAGGGGCAGCTAGGTGGTGCAGTGGATAGAGCAGTGGCCCTGAAATCAGGAGGACCTGAGGTCAAATCCAGCCTCAGACCAAACACTTGACACTTACTAGCTGTGTGACCCTGGGCAAGTCACTTAACCCCAATTGCCTAAAACTTTAAAAAAAAGATTAAATTTTACCAATCCTTCAAGTCCTGTCTTTACTTAAGCCTATCTATTCCACCAATCCTTCCCTGAACAATCCTTGGTGAATAACTTTCCTGAAAATCCTGTAACGCTGGACTGTAATTAATCATATGTATTTGACACATACTTTTAGTATTGCTAGTTAGATGGTATCTTTATTGGTCTTATCTAGTGAATATGTTCTAAGTTCCTTAAGAGAAGGGATTATTATAATATCCTTTAAAAATTAGTATTTGTTTATGTTGTTTAATTTTTATTACCTATATTTCCCAATGTATTCTTCCCTCTATTGTCCATCTTATGGTTTTTCATAACTACAAAAAAATTTGTTGTGAGACACTCAGTAAGAACTGGTTAATTACTGACTATGCCAGACCACACAAAGATGGCTTGTGTTTATACTATAAATCAATACTGACCCAACTCCATAAGAAGTGATCCATTTTCCTAGAAAGATGGTCCTAGGTGACGTTATTCTACTAAATTACGAACTATCCACCTAAGGCTTCCTAGTAAACTGAATTTTTTCTACCCTCTGAGAAATAAGCTTTCCTATGTAATATCACTTTTACTAAACACAGCAGTTTCCACCTAACATTTTCATATATATAAAAAGTAAATACGATATTCAGAAATAAAAATAGTTTTGTTTTTTACCCCAAGGTCTCTTGAATTGTCTACATGAACAGAAACATAACGAGCATTGATTCCTTTTACACAATTGATTGTGATATTCTTTGTTTTGTTTTTATCTTCATCTCCTGACTCCCAAAAGGTTTCTGTTGATCCATCTGTCAAACTGCCAATCATGGCAGGTCTGCTTGATGTTTTTATGTCAACAATGCTGGTTAGGTCTTTTAAACATATTACTATGCATGATTCCTATCAGAAAGAAATATAAATAATCAGATACTCAGAATGAAGTGTCCCAATAGCATAATATAAAGACTTTTAATAAGAAGGAAAAAAATGATTAAGCTGGAATCAAATTGTCCAAGATCAGTTCTGGTTCCCAGTTAACTATACTTTTGAAGGACATTATGATGATCTTCCACAATATTAGGAATGAAGAATTAAGAGCTTTAATTCCTCTTTTATGCTTAAATGTTTAAAAAAGGCTAATAGCTTTCCTAACAGCTTCCTTTGAAAGTCAAAGAGGGAGAGTGGAGTGATTAACAAGGTGAAAGGGACCTTTTTTCTTCCAAATTAATGTCTTAGATGTATATTGCATTCAAGAGCTACAGATATAATGGTAATCATTTCATTGGATTACTATAAAAGCCCGATGAGGCAATTAGCAAAAATATAACTTACATTCACATGTGTATATATGTACATATACACATGGATACATATTTATACAGTTTTTCTAGATTATAATATAAAAATTTAATACATGTTATACAATCTATATGTGTGTATATGTATATGTATCTCTATATCTAGAGAGTGACTCAAACTTAAGAGTGGTTGAGTACACCTCTCCTCCCTTCAGCCATTGTAACCTCTCTGAGGAAGCCTTTCCTGATTCCAACTCATTACTGTCCAAGGTCACATAGCTATTACTGAGTAGAACTGAAATTTTGAACTAAGGACTTCTTACTATAGGTCTGATAGTACTTCTATTATACTATGCTTTTGTACAAAGTGGTAGTTCCTTAAAATCATGAAAATTTAAAGACCTACCTGACTCATAGCTTCAAAGCCAGATTGTATACTGATGCTAAAACTTTCTTCACTATCTCCATCATCCGATTTAGAAAGAATATTGTTAATATGATGAAAAACATTGCTTTGATGGAGGAACTGATGGTCTGATTGTTTGAATTTGAGACTCCAGCATCTAAAATAAAATAAACAGTATTAAATTATTCTTTATGACAGTTATTACAGTGCTAGGAAAATCTTGAAAAAGTTCTGTAAATACATTTATGCAATATGTTAAAACAAAACAAAATTTAAAGTTCTAAACAAGAAAATGACAGTAAAAAACACTAAGGAAGAAAATAATTATTTATAGTAACTGAGGAGGATTTATCAGAATACTTAGTTGGAGCAAGGGTAAAGGGAAATTATGAGAAGAACAGAAAGTACAACTCTATTTAAAAATAGAGGAACTGGGCATATGGAGTTTGAGGCCGTATAAAGGTTGTATCGAAACTCAATTTTTGACTAGTGCTCTACTTATTATAATGAGCTTGTACTTCTCTCTAGCTAATCAACTTGATGATATTATTACTTTTCAGAAGGATACAACAATATTTAGCCCCCAAACCCCCTTGTGGGTGGGTATCTTCTCAAGAAGTATTTCCTGATCCCCACAGTTATAATCATTCTTTCATTCCTCAAGTTCATTCACTCAATCAAAAATTACGTATTAAGCATTTACTATATTTAAAGGCACTAGGCTTAACACTGAGGAAACATGGATAAAAACAAAATAGTCCCTGCCTTTAAAAAACTTACATTTTACTGAGGGGAAATAGTAACAGACAAGTCAATATTATACACACTTACATACATATGCATATATATGCATGCATGTGCATATATATTTATATATACAAAGTAATAAGTTGGGTCAGGAATGGTTCCCCTTGGAGGAGGCACTTTAAAGGAGGAAGGGGTGCCTTCTAGACATGGAGGGCAGAAGACTATCCTGTATATGGAGAACAGTGAGGGGCCCATTTGGCGGGAACACAGCATGGAGAAGAAGTAATATCAGATCAATACAAAAAAATAGGGCCAGAGATTTAGGCCTTAAATATCAGAGGAATTTGTATTTTATTTTAGAGGCAGTAGAGAGAACCACAGAAGCTTTTTTCAAGGTGGGATGTGACATGGTCAAATATAGTTTAGAATATCACATTGGCAGTTTTGGGGAGGGAAGAGATTAGTGTTATGTCTACACTCACCTATTTAAATGCTGTGTGTTCTCCAGGAGAAATTAAGCTCCTTAGAGGCAGGCATTGTTTTGTCTTTCTATCTATAAAGTCTAATATACACAGTCACTTCCAGGACTCAATAAATATTTGTGTTTGGATTGAAGTTACAATATTCCTTTTGCTCCTCTTATCACTGGACTATTTAAAAATGATGAAAGCCAAATAATCCCATTCCTCTGTAAATTCACCAAGGGCTTACATTTATAGCTTTGTAATATTCCAGCTACTAATACCTGGTCTGATAATAAGCAGGAGTATAATTTTAAAACAACATCTAAAATGAAAGCAGCACTCAAATTAAGAAAAAAAATAGTATTGTAAATTTTTGTTTTTAAGGTTAGCAGTTGATCATTTAGAATGTACTTTCTTATAAAAATAAATTTCATATAGTCATTTGGTTCTTGGATTTTCCCATAAAAGTCTATTTAACCCATAACATAATACAGAATCTAACTTCAAGCTAAAATAATGCTTTAAAATGAATATGTATTTCATTTGAATTTAAGATGCCAGGAAAAGAATACCTATTTCACTGTAGTTCTGGCAATGAAAGTGGGGATGCCCCTTGCTCCAAGCCACTGTCATACTTCTGGTAAAATTAGGCAGAAGTGGAATGAGATTGTGAGTAGAAAATTCCCATCAGTGAAAATCTCTAGAAGTGCTTGGGCATTACTCGGTCCATGCTACTTCCTGTCACTCTCTATTTTCTTATGAACCTCTCAGATTTTACTGCCAACACATGCTGCTTCTCTTTCAGGTCTTTATACCCTCCACCGCTACAGTTCTGGCTCAAATTTGAGGTGTTGTAAGAGGGTTTTTTTTTTAAACTGTTAGCAATAAGAAACAGATAGATGGTAAACATAAAAGGGAAGGGCAATTTTACAAAGTTTTAAGAAATCTCAGAAAAGTTGGACCTGGTATTGATTTGATGAAATGGAGCTATGCCCCACCTTTTTTTAGTTCCTCACTACATAGCTATGTCTTCTCCTTTCTTAGGGACCTGCCCAATTCCTCTACATCTCTTAATCATAGGGCTGCTCTTCCTTCACATTCTCTTTATTTACTCAGACCCTCTAGGAAAAAACAAAGGTCCCACAGGTAATGACGAGAGATTTGGGGGAGGAGAGGGTGGTACGAAGAAAACTGAAGAGTCTTTTAAATGTCTGGAAAAACCCAGACTCAGTGTCTGTTCTCTTTTCAGAAAGAAGGCTATTTTGGATATTTCAACAGGCAAGCTGAGGTAGGGATTCTGGGTTAAGGAGGGGATCAAAAGATAATAGATCTAGTATTGTAAGGGACCACAGTAGGCATGTAGTGCAACCTCTTCATTTTACAGATGAAGAAACTAAGGTTAAATGACTTGCCAAAGGTCACATAGGCAGTAAGCATTAGAGCAGGAATTGAACTCAGCTCTCCAGGTGCTAGAGCTCTTTCTCCTGTCCCCTGCTGCTCTGAAGTATAAGACAAAACCAGTCGAGGGCTGGAAGAGCAATAGGTAGAGAAGAGAAGTTACCATGGCCAATGGCCAGGGCAGTCTTTCAAAGGCATGTCAGGGACTACCTGGATCATACAAATTTTTCAGAAACTTTACAAACATTTTAAGACTTCAAAAATCTTCAAAAATCTTTTCTTCAAAGTAGCAGTAAAGTTAGATGTCAGAATACCTGAGTGCCATTTGCTGCAATGAGCTGCCACTGGGGAGAGACATCATAAGGTCTGAGATTGTCTGAAGCAAGCGGTGGAACGTGTGTGGCAAAGGATGAGCAGCTTCTCCTGCAATCACTATGTCTGAAAGCGGATGCTCACACACTCTTGTATCTTTCTCCTGAGACAGACATTAATATCAAACAGTTATGAATTAATGTTTTTCGCATAAGAATTTTAAAAAGAAAAATAATCTATAATCTATAGACTACAAAAAGAAATGCATTTTTAAAAACCTGCACTTAATTAATGTAATGAAAATATCTAAGTTTTTTATCATAGGAGGGAAAAACAGTAACGATATTTATGAGAAACTAAGACCTAAATAATTATATATATTTTCTAAATATCTTTCTAGATCTGAGCATATATAATTTCTCCTATAATTTCAATTTTGCCAATTTGGTAAATACATGTGTTTGTTATATCATATACAGTATATAAGCAAAACTTGTATACATATAGCTGCACCCTTCTATTCTTGAAGTAATTATCCAGTCCTTTTGAAGTTTTCTAGGAATTTTTACTGCTATAAAATGGGTAGATGAAGTACCATATCTCCATTGTAGCTCATTCCTTCTCCCCAGGCCCAACTTTCTGTTGCCTAGTCCTGCTTTCTCCTGAATCCTCACTCTCCTCCTGGGGCTTCTCTGGTACTTTTCCTTGCTAATTCGCCCTCCAATTCTAATGTACCTCAAGCAGAGTACCCTCAAGCGGATCCTCTTGTTTCTACCACTTTTAAACTATGCATCTGCAGATAATGCAATGCCCTGTTAGGCACTCAATACAATTTTTGAAAAAGTGAAATGAATTACGTAGTGAAGTTGTAGAGCTGATGAGACTGAAGTTTAAGGTGTTAGTTTTAAATATCAACAACTTTTGTCTACCCTTGCTTCATGGAAATTTAAAATGAGAAAAGGAGGCTAGAAAAATAGATAGCTCTCACTCTGTCTCAAAGAAAAACAAAGAAGCCCTAAGTCTCCTATCAATGACTTTGCAGAATCTGTTAAATATCAACTTACAGAAAAACTTCTGAGTTCTATGACCCTGGTGAAATTGTTCCTTCACCACTTGATTTGTAGCAGTAAAAATTAGGTTGGAATTAAGACACAAGCATTCCATAGTACAAAAGATATTGCAACATATTAAGCACAATTTTATGTGACTGGTAATCTGTGTTGTTTGGTTTGAATTATATACCCATTAGAATATTTCATTTGGCATAGCATACAGAATATGTAACTTTGGTGACTGTATATGATATTTGTAATCATTCCTACAAGAAGTTGTTTTCCAGAAACATTAACTGTTAGAATACTGTTTTCATAATAAAGTCAGATTTAATTTTTATTAGATGTTTCCTAGGAATTAATTCATTGCAAGTGAGGAATCAGCAGCAAAACCTCTGCACAATGCATGGAAAAAAAATATATATGTATATATATATATAATACATATATGTATACATACATATATATACACATACATGTATACATATATATATATATATTGCCATTTAGCTATGAGAACGAAAGATTTAATTCAATCATTGAATTAACTAATAATTCTTTTCTGTCCTAGCAAAATATAGGTACTTTAAAAATTTCACACGTACTTGTTCTGCATTTTCCTTGTTTGCTTTATTTTCTTCATCATCTTCTTCCTCTGGTTCCACTGGAGCAGGGGTCAGTGAAGCCACAAAATGCCAGAGAATATCATGGAGAGAAGTTGTTTGGATGACATTACACAAAAGCCAGTTGAAAGCCTAAATAATTGAAGTTGTAGAGGTAAAATTTTTATAAGAAACTGTAACAAATACAGTACACATGCAAAAAGAAACACAAATCTTTTCTTAAGCACAGGCAATGTGAATTCATATACTTAGTAAATAGCTTGTGGAAAGATAAGGAATTTTGGCCAAATGTTTTCTTAGAAGCATACTTTGCTTTAAATAGTCTTAATTTCATTCTCAAACTTCTTTATAAAATTGAGAGAAATAACACTGTCCTGCTAAAATAATAAAATACTTTGACACATTATGTTTTACCTTTTTGGATAATTATCCCAAACACTAAGTCATGAATATAGCTTTTGTCAAGTAGCATTTGGCATTATCATAAGAAATGACTTGCAAATGCTGAACAAATTAAATTCTTTTACTTTTTTTTTTTAGAATTTCCTAGCACCAGTGTTGATAAGCTATTTAGAAAACAAGTAACAGGAGACACAAAGCGATAAGCGTGTTGCTCTTAAAACACCTGACAATATAGATAGTTTTAGGTAGATAATCAGACAGGTAATTAATAGTAATTAATTGCAGATTATTGGAGGAGAATCAAAACATCATTTCTGACCCCTTGGAACTGTCATTATATTAACCAAAATGATACTAGGTTGACTTAAGGAGTCTTTGGAATAAGGTAATACAGTAACTATTAATAAATTACTTCAGTGTGCTTAAATTTGAAGTTAGTGACTCAGATAAACTGTGTCAACATACGGAAGACAGCATGATGTGTTAGAAGGTGAGATGGATTTGGAGTCAGAGGACCTGGGTTTAAATCCTACTTCTGCTGCCTGTCTCCTCTTGGGTAGGTCCCTTTAACCTCTTTGAGCCTCAGTTTTCTCATCTGTAAAATGATTGGTTGGTCTGGATGACACTGAGGTTCCTTCCAGCTCTAAATTTATGAAATTTAAAGCTGCTTCCCTATAAAGTAAGTGTCTCTCTCTTTCCCTTTCATTGCCAAACTTTCAGAAAGAGTAGTGCACACTCATTGCTTCTGCTTCTTCACCACACCACTTTTTCCTTTCAATCTAAAATATGTTTATTATAGTGGAGAGAGATACTAGCAAAGACTCAAATGATGCAGAATCAGCAGAATATAGCTTAAGATAACTAGGGAATGAGGCAATGACCTGCAGGAAAAGTAGGGTATTAGTAGGGTACTAGGATAACAGAAAACTTCCTCCATCTCACAATTTTAAGTTTGGACTGAGAATGTGTAAAGCCATACAAGCTGCAATAAACAACTGAAAAGGGATATCTGGACTGATACCAGAGTTAAATTTGATAAGAGGATAACAAAGAATAGCATTACTCAGTGAAAAATGACTTTTTCTTAGCATCTGTGTGACCTTGGACAAGTCACTTAACCTCTCTGGGCCTTAGTTTCCTCAGGTGTAAAAATGGGGGCTGGATTAGATAGATTCTTGGGTCCCCTTCCAGGTTTCAATGTATGATCAAAAGACCACAGAGATGGGAAAAGAGTGGCATGTAGTTTACTAATTACGTATGAGGAGCAATCCTGTTCCTTATAGCTAAAAGGCTATGATGGGAGGGAAAAAAGGGGAAAAGTTAATGAATTATGGGGATAAATCTGGCCTTTTCTTTTTATGTTCTTTCAGACTCTATAAGGCCATTAAAAGAAGGGAACTTAATCTTAGTGTTGTTTTTATTTCTTCCCTTTCCATCATCCCATATATTCAATTGGTTGCCAAAACCTTCTAACTCAACCTTTTCAATATCTCTCACCTGACTTCTCCTTTCCACTCTCGCTATATCCACCTTTGTCCATCCAGATCCTTCTCTCATCTTGCCTTGACTATTAAGATTACTGTTCTTTCTGCTTCTACTCTATTCCTTCTCTGATCCATTCTCCTCACTGCTGCCCAAGAAATCTAACTAATGTACAACAATAAGTGTGTTCACCTCTTCACCAAAACTTTTAGTGGTTTCCTACTGCCTACAATACAAAGAATAAAACCTCATTTCTAGCATTTAAAGCCCTCCACCATTTGACCCCAACCTACTTTTCCTGCCTTGTCTCTACCCCCTTAACTTTCTCTATGTTCCCACCAAAGTGGACCACTCTCTCCATTTTCAATGGGTTCTTTTCCATCCTTGTGAGCAGCCCCTAATGCTTAAACAATTCTCTACCCATTCTGTACCTTTGCCTCATGAAAGTTATTTACAATAGAAGCCCAACTTGGATGTTACTTGCTATAGAAAGCTTCCCTATCCTTTTCTTCTCAGGTGACATCAATCTCTTGTTCTCAGCCCTTTGCCTGGACTTCCACTGTACTTCTCTTAACATTCTAAATCATTCTTAATTGGGTGCTTATCTTTTATCCCCATTAGGTTGTAAGCGCAATGAGCAGGGCTGGGGTCATTCCTACCTTTATATCTATTTCTAGCTCCTAGGAGGCCCCACATGTAGCCATCCTTTAATAAACACTTATTGAATTTGTTATATCTTCTCGTAATTTTATGCTGCCATTTTCCTTTGCATGGAACCCATTTAAACATAACAATTTCTGTTTAATTTTTTTTTTAAAATAAGCAGTTTCATTAAATTGAAATACCCAGAGTTCTAATAGTTCCACTAATATGCTCATACCTCCATAGCAAAAACTCGGCAAGCAGATTTCCGTAAGGCCTGTTTCATTGCTATTTCAAGACCTTCCAGATCATGGTGCTGTATAACAAAAGCTAAAACTGGCCACTGAAAATTTCTTTCTCCTTTGGAAAGAGAACTATGAGCTGAAATTAGTCGAGAAAGCTCAGGAGAAGGATGTCTTAAGAGAGAGGAACCAACTTCTATTAAAAAAAAAAAGCAAAGTATTAGTTTGAAACATCAAAATAGCTGTTTTTCACTGGTACAATCTGTAATATTAATATTCTACAGTCTAGGAATGACAACATTAAGGAATTAGAAATTTTATGGGGATGCTAATTGTTAAATAAGAAAATTTATTTCAGAGCCACTCATTCTTTGGTTTGTAAAGAATAGCAGTGATCGATATTGGAAAACTTTCTTAAAGAGAAATTTTTTTTCTTGATTATTTAGAGGCAAAGCAGATGTCTCTATTCAGTCAATTGAGGAATAATTTTGATGCTTTGATCACAATGAGTAAAAGCTCTGATTAGTAGAACTCATTAGCACATATTACAAGAAGCTCCTTATTATAGCATACTATAATGTGCTAAGATATAACAGTAATTTTGCATTTTTCATGTTAGACTATCAATAACTAGAAAGTATGACATACATGTGAGCTATTATTAATTTATAATTATTACTGGTCAAAATTGAAGCTTGAATAGAGTAACAAAATAAAATCACCAAATAGAAGAAATCAAGACTGGAATGTAGAGGCATTACCTTCTTGGACACAAAAGCCTCTGTTCATAATGGATCAGGGAAATATGTATTTCATACTGGGGAAGGGTATACTTCTGACCTTTGCCCTTACCAGTATCTCCACTGTTAACTCTTCTTCTAGGAATGGCCTTAACACGTGCAGGCAAAATGGAATGCTGTTTGTCATATTCTGAGGCAACAACTGAATACGACCTTTGGAAGACAGTTCGTTTTGCCAAATCAGTATCTGTTATGGGACTAGTCTCTAAACTGTAGACAAGGCAAGGAAAGAAAGAAACAAACAAAAAAATCAATTAATTTAGCCAATGTGTATTTATTTTATAATATTATGGGCAGGTATGTAATTATATTCCCCATAGGGGGAAAATGACTACTTTAAGCCCCACAAAAACTAATAATATTTCAGCTTCCCCCATATACCCCTCCTCTTTTTATAACTTCATTTTTTTTCTTGTATTTGTTCACACATTCAAATACAGAAGTTCATTATTTTTTCTGTGAAAGGAGAAATAGACGACATCAAAAATTTGTCAGTGTCTTTTCAGAACACAGTGTAAATGTGGTTATGAAAATTAAGGAATTTTTATTTCAAGGATTAGTAGAAAATTGATTATAGAAAGAAATTGGTCACATACACACAAGTGCCTAATAAAGCTGAAAACAAAATTTTAAGTATTTTTTTTTCTGTCCTTGCTTGAGCATTAAGCTTTTGACTTTAGGATAGCATTTTACAATGTTTTTGCTGTATATTACAAATCTGTGTACTAAGCAATGAGGAGACATGAACTCTTTTGTCATAACAAGACTGATACTGAACTTTAGCCCTATTTTATTCTTGCATTTTGTGTTAGACAAGACAAATTCAGTGGATTCTGATTCAATCTACAGCAAACGTAGGATTTTCCTACCTTTTTTCTTCAAGGCTAGAATATATGGAATCCCCACAATTAAAATACTGTATAAAGACAGCAAAACAAGGGAAGGAAAAGTCTAAAGCACATTTGTTCACTATTCCTTTTATCTTCTTCCTTTTACCTTGAAATCCTCTTCCAAATTGTACTGTGGAACTGGGATGCTCCCTATTCCAATTTACCAAAATTATTTCTCCCCTTCTAGTCCCTTCTAACAATTTTTAATATCTTCCTTATTCATTTGATCTTGCCTAATTAATTTGAAAAAACAAATGTAATTCTTTGGGCTCATTATTGTCTAAATGCTTATCCTTTTGTACAAAAAAATCCCCAAATTCTATACTTATATACTTGTTCAAAGTGTCAGTTAGTACATAAAGTACATATTATTACGTGTGGAGTATAATAGTGTAATTTGCCTTGACTGCTTTGTCTAAGAGACAAGGAAATGTTTATAAAGTCCTTTTGTTTGTGGTTTGTCTATAAACCAATCAATCAGCAAGCATTTATTATGCTTTTAGTACCAGGTGTCTCTGTATTAAATGCTGGGAATACAAAGGAACAGCAAATACGCTACTTTTCCTAAAGGAGCTCACACTCTAATTGAAGAGGCAAAATGTATATCAGGAGGTATATACAATATCTATACAGAGTCGATGGAAGGTAACTTTAGAAAGGAAGGTGCTAGCAGCTGGAGGAAAAACCTCCTGTAGAAGGTGTAATGTGAACAGAGTTGTGTAGGAAGACAGAATTCTTGGAGGCAGAAGAAAGAAAAACAGCCACTGCACCAAATCACCAAATGGAAGAAATCATCACCAAAACCCAGAAAGAAGAAATCAAAGAGGAGAAAGTAATCAATAGCATCAAATACTGAAGAGAGGACAAGAATAAGGTTTGAGAAAAGACCATTAGATTTGACAATTATAAGAGAGGATTAGTAACTGTGAAGGGTGCAGTTTCAAGCAAATGATAAAATCAGAAGCCAGACTCAGAGAAGGCTTAGAAGAAAGAAAGAGGAGAGGAAGAAGAACCTACTTTGGATGAGAGCTCAGTATAGAAAAGACTTTTCCTAACTGTAAAGGTTAAGGAAGTTAAATTACATAATTTCTACAGTTTCTTACATCTCTAAAATTCTATAATCCAGTCCACACTGATATTTTCCTTTTCTGTACTCCTATAGTAGGAGTAACGTTATATATTCTTTCAATATTTTTCATAGTAACAACTTATTATTAAAAGCCATTGATAATTTATTATTTTTTGATGATTTTTATAGTTCTTCTTTTTCATAATAAATTTATTTATTTATTTGGAGTTTTCAATGTTCACTTCCATAAGATTCTGAGTTCCAAATTGTTTCCCCACCCCTCTCTGTAGAGGGCTTGCACTGATGGGTTTGAGAATTTAGGCTAGGCCAGGTTTTACCTGTAGCCTGTCCTTAGTCTGAGGGCCACCTGTCAGAACCTAGGCTCTTCAAGCCCTCCCCTGCTCTATCTTTCCCTTGATAACAGAAGGACCTTGAAAGATAACCAGGAAGCGAGGAGATGTTTCAGGGGGGACTCCCCCCAGTTACTGTTCCCATGAGAAAAATTATTGTTGATACTTTGCCTTTTCCACTCTGGGATCTGTTCCCATGAATGGGGTATAAAAACCCTAGTCCTCAGATCAATAAACAGAACTGGTTCTGGACCTGTTACCTACCTGGCCCACATATCTTTCTCTTTTATCATACTCGACTGGCAATTAAACACAGTCATGGACACAGGCATCTGTGACAGGTGGCCCCCCACACAGGGACCTCTAATGAGAACCTGGGGCGGGGCAGGGGGCTTGAAAGAGAGACTTCCCCCGGTGAGTAGCCTTGGAAAAGGTGGGCTGTATGGCCATCAGCCATAAAAGGGAGTACTTCGGTTGTTGCACAGAAGCAGAAGACAACGACAAAGGTAAGGGTGACAGTTTCTTCCTATGTAGTTTTAGTTCACCAGGTTTAGTGGGATATTAGATACAGATCAGTGTGTGTGTTTTATTTTCACTTTGAACTGAAGTACCTTGTTATATTCATTTACAGTGAAGGTGAAGTTACACGGGCTGACTGAGAGCATAAGAAAAGAATCAGTTGAGAATATAAGAAAACATAAGCAGTTGAGAATATAAGAAAATATAAGCACTTGAGAATATAAGAAAATACAAACAGTCAAGATGGGGCAAACTTCCTCAGCAGAGCACAGAGACAAAGAATATTATCTACAAGTATTAAAATCATTAGTAAAAGACAGGGGATTATTAATCACTTTTGGACAGCTGGTTGAATTTTTAGATACAGTGGAACAACGCTGTCCTTGGCTTCCAAAGGAAGGGATGATAGATACAGAAAAATGGGAAATAGTAGGTAAACAATTAAGTGACTACTATTATCAAGAATACGGACCTGGTGCTTTTCCAGTGTCCACTTTCTCAATTTGGAACATACTTAAAATATGTCTTCAAAAATCAGAACAGGTGTTTTTAGCCACAAAAGTAATTAAGGTAGAAGCCTCTTGTTCCACCACAAAGGAGGAAGAAGTTGCAGAAATATTAACAAAAACAGAAATTAAAAATGTAGTAAGTAATAAAGTAGCTGAAGTTTCAAAACCCCCTCCACACTCTCCATGCCCTCAGCTGTAAGACAGGCTCAAGTGGCAAGACTAGAGGTCCCTACAGAACTACAGATTGCTTTGCCTCTTGCAAAAACCAAAACTTTAAGAAAGATTTTGCCTGGTTTCCATAACATCTGGAATACCATGAAAAGAAAAGAAAAAATAAAATAAAAACAGTATTATTTGATTTGTGTAGGGGATTTCTGACAAGTCTCTCTGAGCTTTCAGATTCTTCCTGTCATTTTGTTCTGTGTGTATCTGTGTGGTACGAATGATTGTCTGTGATTGTCTGTGTATAATATGTGTAATCTGAAACCTTTGCAGCCAGAGCTGGACTCTGAAATGTCATTTTTCTTTGTCCCTTTCCCCCTCCCTAATACCAGCCACCTCCTGGGAGTGGGTGGATGAGGGAGAGGAGAAAAAAATATTTTATTATTTAGGATTATATGATTGGTAAAAGGCAAAAAAATTAAGCACGCAGGAACAGATGATTTGAGAATAAAAGATTTGAAAACTTTCGGAGAATTGATGGGAAGAAATTCTTTCTTTTTGCATTCTAAAGCTCTGGACAAAGCTTTGGATGTAAAATTGAAAGATTATCAAAGATAAGTTGTTGGAAAATATTCTCTTCCTTTCTCTCTCATTCCAACCCTGGCCAGGTTGGGGTGGGGGAGAAAGAACGAGAAGAAAAGGAGGGTGAAGTTTCCCCCTCAGATCCAAAAGAAAAGTTTTTTATGTATTTGGAACATAACCAAAAGATAATTTAGTTCATTCAAATTAGTAATATGTTTGTTCCAAATTTTAATTTCAAAAATGTAGTATTGTTACAAATTGGTAAACTTTTGTAATGTTATGTGTTATGTGAAGCAATGTGTAATAATTTGGATGTTATTAAAATGTGAACTAAAAGAGACTGAAGGACAGTAGAAAAGTTTGCGTGAAACCAGCTAAATTATTTTATCAAGTCCAGTCAATCTTGTTTTATAATGTTTTATAACTGTCAATTAGAAAATCAGGTTATTTCCATCTTTTCCCATATTTAAAGAAAGTTTATAGCTAAAACAATTTAACTATCACTTATGAAAATTACCAAATTGTTAACTAAGTTATGCAAAGTTACTGTTTTAAAGTTAAAACCTAGAATTTTTAATTACTTATGAGTGAAAAGGAGAGGCACAAGGCAATTCCTTTTACTTTGTAAGTTTGCCAAGTCTCCTAGCAATCAGCTGTATGGCAAGGTCATCTGCTCTAAGAGAAGAACTTGTTTATGTTATAGAGTTCCTAAATAATTAATTTGGCTTACTGAGAAGTTGCAACTTTATAAAATGATTTCTAATAACTGGCTGTTGAGCAGGACAAGTTTAAATTTAAGAAAAAAGAATGTTAAGTGAAATCTCTTATATATGTGAGTCCTAGTAAATCTTTATTACTTATTACAACTCCATGAGAATAAAATTAATTACATCTGGCTTTAAGCTGTGATTAGTGAAACCTTACCGTTTGAGGTAAAAGACTATTAGGACTATAATTAATTTTGTTTTGAGTTTAAATTTAAGTATAGTTGTCTCGATTAAATCAATATTTGAAGTTTTCCTATTATGTTCCTTTAAGGAGAAATGTTTCACACTACGTACCAAAATTTTGTTCATAACACTATTAAACTTGTTAAGGCAGAAATATTCTCAGATAAAAATAATTCATT